GAGTTTGCCACTGTACACCAGCCTGGGTGACAGAGTAGTATCCTGTCTTAAAAAAATAAAATAAAATAAGGAACCCAGGTGCAGTGGCTCATGCCTGTAATCTCAGCACTTTGGGAGGCTGAGGCAGGTGGATCACCTGAGGTCAGGTCACTTTGTCACCCAGACTGGAGTGCAGTGGCATGACCTCGGCTCATTGCAACCTCTGCCTCCCAGGTTCAGGTGGTTCTTGTGTCTCAGCCTCCTGAGTAGCTGGGATACAGGTGCGCACCAGCATGCCTGGCTAATTTTTGTATTTTAGTAGAGACAGGGTTTCACTATGTTGGGAAGGTCTTGAACTCCTGACCTCAGGTGATCTGGCCACCACAGCATCCCAAAGTGCTGTGATTACAGGCATGAGCCACTGTGCCCAACCCCTGTAATTTTTTATGCAAAATGCTAGGTATTTGGGACAAGATTTGATTTTCAGAGAATCATATCTCCAAAACGGGTCTACTTCTCTAGGAGTGCAAAATGGGCTTATGTAGCTGCAAGGTAGGGGGAGGAGAATGGGCCCAAGAAAATGGGACTGGACTGGCCAGGCGCGGTGGCTCAAGCCTGTAATCCCAGCACTTTGGGAGGCCGAGGCGGGTGGATCATAAGGTCAAGAGATCGAGACCATCCTGGTCAACATGGTGAAACCCTGTCTCTACTAAAAAAATACAAAAAGTTAGCTAGGCATGGTGGCGCGTGCCTGTAATCCCAGCTACTCAGGAGGCTGAGTCAGGAGAATTGCCTGAACCCAGGAGGCGGAGGTTGTGGTGAGCTGAGATTGCGCCACTGCACTCCAGCCTGGGTAACAAGAGTGAAACTCCCATCTCAAAAAAAAAAAAAAAAAAGAAAGAAAATGGGACTGGAGGAGGAGGGACACACCCGGGGTGTTTGGTTCAAGGACCGAGCGCCCAGTGCTTCTGTTTCTGTATTGGCAAACCAAGGCATTGAGTCCTTGAGGACCCTCAGGCCTGGGGTGGGGAGGAGCGGAGAGAACAGTCTCCACCTCTCCCAGTGTATATACTTTTGGTCTACATCCCAGGGCCTCAGTTGCTTACTGTAAAAAGGGGATGTCCACACCTGCCTGGAGGTCCTGGGATTTTCTGGGGATGTCTGAGGGACGCTAGAACAATGTTTTTGGCTGGTGACAGTGCTGCCCACTGAGAAATTCCAAGGTTGAGGTTGGGCCTCTGGGGTTAGAAGGCCACACTCTGGGGCTTGAAGGGTTGCCAAGAAGGTGACCTGCCGCTGTCTTGTCCCTCCAGTGTACAAGGCAGACGTGGCACGCCTGGTGGCCAGGCCAGACCCCTCAGCTGAGTGGAATTCTGTGGTCATCCTGGTGCCTGTGCGACTGGGTGGCGAAACTCTCAACCCCGTGTATGTGCCCTGCGTGAAGGTAGGTTCAGCCAAGTTCCAGGACGCCCCCACCAGGGAGTCCTCTAGACTTGTTTAGCTTGGGTTAGGGCTGCTGTTTATGTTGTGTCCCTCATCCCTTCTTTTTTTTGAGACAGAGTTTCATTCTTGTTCCCCAGGCTGGAGTGGCGCAATCTCAGCTCATTGCAAACTCCGCCTCTGAGATTCAAGCAATTCTCCTGCCTCAGCCTCCCAAGTAGCTGGGATTACAGGTTTCTGCCACCATGTCCAGCTAATTTTTGTATTTTAAGTAGAGACGGGTTTTGTCATGTTGGCCAGGCTGGTCTCGAACTTCTGACCGCATGTGATCCACCTGCCTCAGCCTCCCAAAGTGCTGGGATTACAGGCGTGAGCCACCAGCCCTTTTTATTGTTTTTTGAGACAGAGTTTCACTCTTGTTGCCCAGGCTGTAGTGCAGTAACGTGATCTCAGCTCACTGCAACCTCTGCCTTCTGGGTTCAAGTGCTTCTCCTGCCTAAACCTCCTAAGTAGTTGGGATTACAGGCATGCACCACTTTTGTATTTTTAGTAGAGATCGGGTTTTTCCATGTTGGTCAGGCTGGTCTTGAACTCCTGACCTCAGGTGATCTGTCTGCCTCAGCCTCCTGAAGGGTAGGAGCAGATGATGAGGGTAGCAGGAGAGCCTAGAAAGGCCCTCTGCAGCCACCAGGCAAATGAGGAGCCAGAGGAGGAGTGCTCTAGGCAAACGGAACAGCAAGACAGAGGCCCTGAGGCTGGAAAGGTCCCTATGTATCTGCATCAGAATAAAAGCCAAAGTGTCCCCAGGGCCCACAGAGCCCCACACTGTTTGTCCCAGTCACCTTCTGGAGGTCATCTCCTGCCGTGACCTCATATCCTCCTCCCACACTCTGCTGCAGCCACAGGAGCCTCCTCCCTGATTTCAGAACACTCCTCTTTCAGTTCCGGCTCCTGCTGCATAGAGCCCTCTTTCAGCTGCAATGCATGTGGCTCCTGAGGAGCTGGGACTACAGGTGCAGGCACCACCACAGTCATCTCTATTTATTTAAAAATTTGTTTCTTATTTTACTAACACTAACCATTAAAAGAAATCCTGGCCAGGAGCAGTGGCTCAAGCCTGTAATCCCAGCACTTTGGGAGGCCGAGACGGGTGGATCACGAGGTCAAGAGATCGAGACCATCCTGGTCAACATGGTGAAACCCCATCTCTACTAAAAATACAAAAAATTAGCTGGGCATGGTGGCGTGTGCCTATAGTCCCAGCTACTCAGGAGGCTGAGGCAGGAGAATTGCCTGAACCCAGGAGGCGGAGGTTGTGGTGAGCCAAGATGCAAGTTACCATTGCACTCTAGCCTGGGTAACAAGAGTGAAATTCTGTCTCAAAAAAAAAAAAAAAAAAAAAAATCCTTTGGTTATTTCCGTCATCTCTCAGTAGGGCCTATCCTGACTCTCTTATTTATTTATGATTGATCGATTCAGAGCCTCACTCTGTTACTAAGGCTGGAGTGCAGTGGTGTGGTCTCAGCCTACTGCAGCCTCAACCTCCCAGGCTCAAATGATCCTCTCACCTCAGCCTCCTGAATATCTGGGACTACAGGCACACTCACCACCACACTCAGCTCATTTTTTTTTGTAGAGGCAGGGTCTCACTATGTTGCCCAGGCTGGTCTTGAACTCCTGGGCTCAAGCAGTCCTCCCACTTCGGCCTCCCAAGGTACTGAGATTAGAGACATGAGCCACTCTTTGGCCTCTGTTTTAAAATATGTTTTGCATTGGGAGGTTTTCCAGTGAGAATCAGAAAACCTATGAGACAAATTCTAAAGGAGCTGTAATGTTTGACCTCCTTACTTCAAATCACAAGGTTCCCTTCTCTCCTTTATTCTTTTCCATAAAGTTATCACCTCTAACACATGAGATAAATCATATAATCAGCTCTGCCTGTAATCCCAGCCCTTTGGGATGCTGAGGCAGGTGGATCTCTGCCTGTAATCCCAGCACTTTGGGAGGCTGAGGAGTTTGATACCAGCCTGACCAACATGGTGAAACCTCGTCCCTACTAAAAATATAAAAATTAGCCAGGCATGGTGGTGGGCCCTGGTAATCCCAGATATTCAGGAGGCTGAGGCAAGAGAATCACTTGAACCCGGAAGGTAGAGGTTGCAGTGAGTCGTGATCATGCCACTCGCTGCACTCCAGCCTGTGTGACAGAGTGAGTCTCCATCTAAAAAAAAAAACAAACAAAAAACCACCATATAATCATCTTCCTTGTAAAAAAATAATCATCTCCCACACTAGGATGTCAACTCCTGAGGGCAGGGGTTTTGTGGTTTTGATCACTGCTGCCATCCAGAGGCTGCGTTCTCACTGAAGAGTGGCTGCCTCACAGCACCTGCGCACCCTCCCCCCTGCAGGAACTCCTGCGTTGTGAGCTGTGCCTGGGCATCATGGGCGGGAAACCACGGCACTCGCTGTACTTCATTGGCTACCAAGGTAGGCCCGACCCCTCCTCAATCCCCAGCCCTCATCCCATCCCCACTCACACCTGCACCCCTGCAGATGACTTCCTGCTGTACCTGGACCCTCACTACTGCCAACCCACTGTGGACGTCAGCCAGGCCAACTTTCCCCTGGAGGTGAGTGGGAGCCCCCAACGTGTGGTTGGGACCATGGTGGGTGGGCAGCCAGGGCCTCTGAGCCTCCCTCATCTGTCTGCCCCAGTCCTTCCACTGCACCTCACCCCGCAAGATGGCCTTCGCCAAGATGGACCCAAGCTGTACTGTGGGCTTCTACGCTGGAGACAGGAAGGAGTTTGAGACACTCTGCTCAGAGCTGACCAGGGTGAGCAAGAGGAAAGCTGGAGGGGAGGGAGGGTGGGCAGGCAGAGCTGGGAATGTTCTACAGGAACAGAGGCCTGGAGTCCAGTAGAGCTGGGGTGCTGCTTCCAGACTGGGTGTCCTAATCTGGGAAATGTGAAGAACGTCCACCCCTGAAAATGTGAGGGGAGGCCAAGGACACCTGTCAGGTCACCTTGCTGTCCTGCAAGTTGAGGGTGTCATGCCTTGGAGGCAGCGGTATCCAGACGGTCAGGTGGGGAGAACCCTCCTTGTCTCTTTGCTGTCTATGGCGTTAACCTCCTGGTGCCAAAAGATGGCCACCAGCCCTTCTGGGCACCCATCTCTAGTCACTGGAAGGGGAATTCCGTTTTTGCAGGAAAAATCCCAGTGTCTGGCTGAGTCATACGCTTATACCAGGGGATGGAAGGTGCTGATTGGCTGGCCTGCCCTGGAGAGGCAGTCCTGAGAAGTACCTGCTAAGTAAACCAGGGCTGAAGAATATGGCTTGGCACTGTTTGTGGCTGAGTGTCCCCCTCCTCCTGCCAGGTCCTCAGCTCCTCCGCGGCCACGGAACGGTACCCCATGTTCACTCTGGCCGAGGGCCACGCTCAGGACCACAGCCTGGATGACCTCTGCTCCCAGCTCTCCCAGCCCACACTCCGGCTCCCTCGCACAGGGCGGCTCCTCAGAACCAAACGGCCCAGCTCCGAGGACTTTGTGTTTTTATAAAGGGAGGGGATTGGGGGGAAAGATGCAACACTATTTATTTTTTTATTTATGTCATGTCAGGTGTGGGATCTTGAGCTCTGGCAATGATGGTACTTCCTCTCTCACCCCCTCAACAAGCCCAGCTGTGACCAGTCAGGGACAGAGCCCATGCACCTGTCTCCCACCAGTGGCGCCCTCCTGGCAGGGCAGGGAGGACCCTGGGCAACTCCCTCAGGACCTGACTCAAGTACTGTAGTTTGCACTGGACGCCCGGGCCCTCCCTGTCCCAAAGCCACCATAGGGAAACTGGCTGCTGGGGGCCAATAAAGCTGTGTGACCTGATCATGGCTGTGGCTGGGCGCAGCATTCTCAGGGGTTGTGAGGTCTGGGAAGTATCTTGAGGTGAGAGTTCCAAGTCACTTGAGAAGTTTAAGTCAGCCTCAGTGTCCACGTCCATAAAATGGGACAACTTCCTTACCCGCAGCTACACGTGCTTCTTTAAGAGACAGGGTCTTGCTTTGTTGCCCAGGCTGGAGTACAGAGGTGCAATCATACAGCTCACTGTAGCCTCAATCAAACAATCCTCCTTCCCCAGCCTCCTGAGTAGCTAGGACTACAGGCACGTGCCACCATTTTGTAGAGATGGAGTCTTGACATGTTGCCCAGGCTTGTCTCGAATTCCTGGGCTCAAGTGATCCTTTCACCTCGGCCTCCCTAAGTGCTGGGATTACAGGCGTGAGCTGCATGCTTGGCCATAGATGTGAGGTTCTCTACAGCAGATAGTATTTGTGGGTGCGAGACCTGTCCAGGGCTTGACTGGAGGGGAGGAGCCAGAGACCTCTGCCTGCTCCCTGGGGCTCAGGAGCTGCTCTTGGGCCCCTGCTGTTTCCTCCGCTGCCGGCCCAGCTGGCGGAAGTGCAGCCGTTTGGGGTTGAGGCCAAAGGCCTGCAGTCTCTGGCGGCTGAACTCGCGCCCACCAAGCGTCACAGTGGGACCCAGCAGCCGTGCCTTCTTGGCCCTCCTCCGCCTCTGCAGGGCTAGCTTCTCCGGGGGTAACACAGGGGCCTCCTCTTCCTGTGCTGGGAGACTCTCTGGCCAGGACCACTTCCTACCAGCCCCATCAAGCGCTGCCAGCCGCTTCTGTGGGCCAGCCTCGTCTCTCTGTGGCTTCCCTGTGGCTTCCGTGGGCGTCTCTGTCCTGAAGGAGAAAAGTCAGGGCTCAGCCTAGGCCTGTCAAGATCAGGCCCGTTCCATTTTACAGGCGGGGAAAGGAGGGGCATAGTGAAGCGGCCACACAGTGACCAAGGGCCTGTCTGGGATTCAGACCTGGGTCTCATGCCAAAGCCAGTCTGGGGCTTTTCTGCTGAACCCAAAGGCTAGATTGTGAGGCTGAGGATTCTGATGTTTGTGCCTGGGCCTGCCCTAAGCTATTCACATCAGTTAACTCATTTTAGCTTTTTTTTTTTTTTTTTTTTTTTTTTTGCCTTAGAGACAGGGTCTTGCTTTTTCACCCAGGCTGGAGTGCAGTGGTGTGAACGTAGCTCATGGCAGCCTCCAGCTCCTGGGCTCAAGCGATCTTTTCACCTGAGTCTTCCAAAGTGTTGGGATTAGAGGCTGGAGCACGCACAGGGCCTCTTTTTAGCTTTCAGTAAATATCACTCCTGCCTTATAGACTGGGCGAAAACAATCCTAATAATAACAGCTGACCTATCAGGCATTTACCATCTCTTCATCACTTTACGTAAATTCATCCTCAGCTCACTTCATCCTCAGCAAGCTTATGAGGCAGAACCGTCTCTATCTCCATCTTATAAGAAGCAGACCCAGAGAGGGGCAGCGACTTGCCCAAGGTCACAGCAATAGCACCCAGGATTAGAACCCAGGTCTCAGAGCCGGGGGATGGGGAGCAGAGCGGGGAGAGGCGGGGAGACACGCTGTATTCCCAAAGTCATGCAACAAGAGGCTGACAGCCAAGACTCAAGCCCGGCGGGCGCCCGACCCACACTTCCCCAGCCAGCACTGCTCACTCTTCCTGGCAGAGTGACTTGAAGATCTGCTGCTTTTTCCATGAGTTCTGGGCCTTCTGGCTGTATGCCCGCTTATCCCGCAGCTCCTCCTGCTCCGACCTGCACACAGACAGAGGGGCCTGTTGGGTGCTCTGGGCAGTGCCCCGGGCTGCCCGCCCCTGCACACTGGGCCCCGCCCCACTGCATCACCTGTACATGCAGGTCTTCTTCAGAGAGCACCACCGGTTGAGCTCCTTATCGTCAGCAGCGAGGATCTGCATGGGAAGGGAGGGTGGGGACCTGCTGTGATAGTCCCCATGGGGGGCCTGACTCTTCCGTGAGCCTGAGTCACCTCATTAGTCAAAACGGTAATGCTGCTACCACCAAGCAGGGCTGCCATCATGGCCAGAGACTGATTTCTACAGAGGCCAATATTTTTTGCAGAGGTCAGAAGATGGGGAAACTGAGGCTCAGAGAACGGATCCTTGCCCTAGGCCACATGGCTAGGAAGTTGGCTGAACTGATTTCAGTTCGAGACCCAGAGCTCTTGAGCTGTCACCCATTCCCGGTTATCCCCAAAGCCTCAAAACAGGCAGGGGTCGCTCCCAACCACCGGCTTCCTAATTACACATGAGGCTCTCATTCCCAGTCTCTGGGCCTCAGTTTCCAAACCTACTGGAAGGCCATCAGAAAGAGGAAGTGAGTGAGTGCTGATGGTATCGGCTTAGTACACATTGGCTATTTTTACTGACCATGCAAACAGTCGCGCACCTTCAGCTATCATAAATGGGGAAGAGTAGGTGCCCACAGCCTGCCATGTGCCACACACATTTGATCTTATGCCTGTTCCTTCCAAGTCACCGAAATTGGGGTGTTATTAATTACTGTCCCATTTTACAGATGGGGAGTTGAGGCACAGATCGGGGAATCACTTGTCCAGAGACACAGCTGGCGAATAGCCAAGCCAGGGCTTGAACCCACCTGGGCCCCCTAGTTCCAGAGGATATCAAGCCTTTTTTTTGAGACAGGGTCTCACTCTTGCCCAGACTGGAGTGCAGTGGTATGCTCACAGCAGCCTCAACCTCCTGGACTCAAGCAACCCTCCTGCCTCGGCCTCCCAAGTAACTAGGACTATATCTCCCTATGTTGCCCAGGCTAGTCTCAGAACTCCTGGGCTCAAGTGATCCTCCTGCCTCAGCCTCCCAGAGTACTGAGATTACAGGTGTGAGCCAGTGTACCCAGTCCTGCTACCAAGTCTTACCAGCCAGACTACTGCTGATAATATTGGCTGGACACGCTGTCTCACATCTGTAATCCCAGCACTTTGGGGGGCGCTGAGGAGGGCAGATCACACGAGGCCAGGAATTCCAGATCAGCCCGGCCAACATGGTGAAACCTTGCCTCTACTAAAAATATAAAAATTGGGCATGATGGCACATGCCTGTAGGCCCAACTACTTGAGAGGCTAAGGCAGGAGAATCATTTGAACCTGGGAGGCAGAGTTTGCAGTGAGCGGTGATCACACCACTGCATGCCAGCCTACGCAACAGAGCAAGACTCCGTCTCAATCAATCAACAAATTTTAAAAAGTAATACTGGCTAGGTTCGGTGTCTCACACCCATAATCCCAGCACTCTGGGAAGCCAGAACACCAAACAGGAAGATTGTTTAAGCCCAGGGAGTTCGAGAGCAGCCTGCATAACATAGTAAGACATTGTTTAAAAAAAAAAAAAAAATTTTTGTTTTTAATTAATTGGGCATGGTGGCACATTCCTGTAGTCCCAGCTGCTTGGGAGGATCACCTGAGCCCAGGAGGTTGGCGCCACTGCGCTTCAGCCTGGGGAACAGAGCAAGACTCTATCTCAAAAAAAGTAATATTTACAGGGCATGGCATGCCATGGGTAAGACACTGTTTTGAGGCCCCACCGTGTAGAAGGTAGTAATGCTACCTTTGAGGCAAGGTAATATTATTAGTACTGTCATTTGGACTATTTTTTTTTTTTCTGAGACAGTCTCACTCTGTCACCCAGTGAGACTCTGCCTCAGAAGAAGAAAAAGATGATAGTCCAAATGAAGAGTCCAGACAGAGGCTCGCTGCAACCTCTGCCTCCCAGGTTCCAGTGATTCTCCTGCCTCAGCCTAAGCAGCTGGTACTACAGGAGCCTGCCACCACACCTGGGTAATTTTTTTTGTATTTTTAGTAGATCTGGGGTTCTACCATGTTAGTCAGGCTGGTCTCGAACTCCTGACCTCAGGTGATCTGCCCACCTCAGCCTCCCAAAGTGCTGGGATTACAGACATGAGCCACCTTGCCTTTTTTCTTTTTTTTTGAGATGGAGTTTTGCTCTGTCGCCCAAGCTGGAGTGGAGTGGTGCAATCTCGGCTCACTGCAACCTTTGCCTCGTGGCTTCAAGCGGCTCTCCTGCGTCAGCCTCCCAAGTAGCTGGAACTACAGGCGTGTGCTGCCACACCCGGTTAATTTTTGTATTTTAGTAGACAGGAGGTTTCACCATGTTGGCCTGGATGGTCTTGATCTCTTGACCTTGTGATCCGCCCGCCTTGGCCTCCCAAAGTGCTGGGATCACAGGCGTGAGCCACCGCACCCGGCCCTTCATTTTCCAGATGAAGAAACAGGCCACCATGTTGTACCATTTCTGAGCAATAGAGATCAGGGCTCAGGGCCAGCTTCCTGCCCCTCCGGCATACCTGGTACCCTCTGCAGTGTCCCCACCTGCCTAGGCCCTACCTCCTCAGTGCTGAGGCCAAAGTCGCAGGGCACCACGGTGCGGTACTTGAAGCGACAGGGTAGGTCGTCGATGATGTCCTCGTAGTCCAGCCGGTAATACTCATCCAGGTACTCCTCGAACGTCCTGTCCCCTGTTCAAGACACAGCCAGGTTGCCGGGCTGTGCGAGGTCCTGCGGAGCCCCTTCCCCACCCGCAGCCTGCCCACCTGCACCTCACCGGGTTCGAACACGGGCTTCTCCTGTCCCACGGCTGCAGCGAAGGGTGACTTGCGCTTCTTCTTGCCCGTCAAGGGGGCCTTGTGCTTTTCCTTCCTCAGCTGGCTGGGGTCATAGTCGGCGTCCATCTGCCAGGACACACAGGTCAGATCCTGCCAGCCCTCAGTCAAGGCCCCTGGGACTCCCCCGACCCGGGACACCTACGTTGAAGTCGGGGTCCTCACAATGCAGCTCCCGCTGGCTCCAGTCTCCATCCTGCTCAGGCCCATGCCACGTGTCCCAGTTCCAGTCATCTGGATGCAGACAGAACAGACAGGTGGGGTAAGGACAGGACCTTGGGCTTCAGGCCCAGTTCCTAGGCCCCCAGCCTGGTACCCCAGCTGATCTCACCTTCAAGACCTTCCTCTTCCTCAAATTGCGGCTTCTCCTCCTCCATTGCCTTGTAGTACTCGTCCCCGAAGCACTTCTGGAGGGTCAGGGCTGAGAGTCACCAGGGCCCACTCAAGGCAGAGCAGGGCCCACTCAAGTTGAGTTCCCAACAATACTGCCAATGACCCCTCTGTGGCAGCTTTAGTCCTGCACCTCGTGGGGCTCCCCAGAGCCCTCCCAGGACCTAGCTCCAGAGGTGGGGGGCCCCTGCATGTCCAGGCTCCTCTGCCAACTCCCCTGCTCTCTACCCTATGATGTACTGGCCACCATTCAGTTCCATAGATCCAGTTCTTTGCCATCCTACAGGCCTTTGCCCCTGCAGTGCCCACACCCAGTGCACTACTCAGGCCCCAGGTCTTTTTATTTTTTGAGATCAAGTCTTGCTCTTGTTCCCCAGGCTGGAGTGCAATGGTGAGATCTCAGCTCACTACAACCACCACCTCCCAGGTTCAAGCGATTCTCCTGCCTCAGCCTGCTGGGATTACAGGCACCCACTACCACACCTGGCTAATTTTTATATTTTTAGTAGAGATGGGGTGTCACCACATTGGCCAGGCTGGTCTTGAACTCCTGACCTAGGGTGATCTGCCTGCCTCGGCCTCTCAAAGTGCTGGGATTACAGGCATGAACCACCGTGCCCAGCCTAAGTCTTTCTATTTTTAAATAGTCTTACTCTGTCACCCAGGCTACAGTGCAGTGGCACAATCTTGGCTTACTGCAATCTCTGCCTCCCGGGTTCAAGCAGTTGTCTTAGCCTCCCAAGTAGCTGGGATTACAGGTGCCCACCACTATACCTGGCTAATTTTTGTATTTTTTAGAGATGGGGTTTCACCATGTTGGCCAGGCTGATCTCAAACTCCCGATCTTAAGTGATCCACCCGCCTCAGCCTCCCAAAGTGCTGGGATTACAGGCATGAGCCACTGTGCCCAGCGAGAGCCAGGTTTGTGTGAGGTCAGCGTCATGGGATGAGGGGCTGTACCTCCATGAGCTGGTCGTGCTGGGCTGGGTCGAAGTCATCCTCAAGGTCCCTCTCCTCGAGCCCCAGTGTCTCGTTGCCTGTGACTTTCCGCAGCTTCTCCAGCTTGGCCAGAATCTCCTTCCTTTTCAGGTTCTTCAGCTGCTTGAGCTCTTCCCGCTTCTTTGCTTTCTCCTGCAGGCCCAGGCAGAGGGAGGGCGGGCATGGGCTTTCCTGAAGGGCTGAGGGGTCCTCCCCAGCTGGCCACCCCGACACTCACCCTCTTCTTGCGCTCCCGAGTCTCTTCCCTCTTCTCCTTCCTGCGCTCATCCTTACGGCGCACAGAGGACGCAATGCTGCGTGGGTAGGTCTTGACCTAGGCAGGGTCAGAAAAGCCCAGAAGGGCCGCAGAGATGATGTGGGGCTCTCTGGGCATGGAACCCGGGGGCTGAGTCCTCCCCCGCCACACACCGATGCCGAGTCCGGCTCCTCGAAGCGGAAATTGTACTTGTGTTCGAAGTCTTCCTGCTTCTTAAGAAACAGCTCCCCCTCGTCTGAGGAGTCGTCCACAACCAGCTGGACTGGGGGACCGGAGACCCTGAGGGACAAGATGCAGTGAGGCTGGGGGCCAGCCAAGGGAGGTTGAGCCCACACTTCCTGCATGCCTGGGTACAAAATGTATGCACACATTTAATCCTCACAACCCTACAAGGTACACGCGGCCACTGTCCTCATTTTACATATGGGGAAACTGAGGCATGGAAGTCTCGCAGCAGAACCAGGATTGGAGGCAGTGCCACCTGGCTCCAGAGCCCACACTCTGTGGCTCTGTCTTGCAGAAGACTAACTCTGCCACCATCTGTGAAGAAAACACACATGGTGCCCTCTGCCCCCTGGCTGGTGCCACCTGGGGATATTTCAGGAAGAACACCCTAAATCTAGGCCCTGGGGAGGCACAGCGGCTCACCCCTCCTCTTCCTCATCTTCCTCCTCCTCGTAGCGTTTGTTGAGGATGTAATCCCGAAGGAACTGCTCCCCTTCATCCAACTCAGGGTCGTTCCAGTATTCCTTGAGATGGGTCTGGGGGTGACAGGAGACAGGACCTCAGTCAATGGAGGACAGGGAAGGAGGACAGGCATGGTCACCACGTGGACCTCATAGCCAGCCTCTGGAGTAGGTGACATTAGCCCCCCCCTTTTTTTTTTTAATTTCGAGACAGGGTCTTGCCCTACCATCCAGGTCAGAGTACAGTAGTACGATCATAGCTCACTGCAGATTCACCTTCCAGGCTCACACGATCCTCCCACATTAGCCTTCCAAGTACCTGAGACTACAGGCACATGCCACCACGCCTGGCTAATTTTTTTGTAGAGGGGTTTTGCTGTGTTGCCCAAGCTGGTCTCAAACTCCCGGCCTCAAGCAATCCTCCTGCCTTGACCTCCCAAAGCACTGGGATTATAGGTGTGAGCCATGGCGCCCAGCCTATCCCCGTATTATAAGATGTGGGAACTGAGGCCCAGAGATGCACACATCTCATTTTCAGTGGGTTACTTTCTGTCAATAGTTGGATGGAGGCGGCACATGCAGTCTACGCCATTGGTGACCACATGCGAGAACTCACCAGTTCCTTCAGGGACTCTGGGTTCCGAATCTCTTTCTGCCCCTTCAGCCACTCAATGTAGTCGGCCTCCTCCTGGGCCTGGGGGAAGGCCAGCACTGAGCATCTGCAGACACTCAGCCACCCGCCACCATGCCCCCCATGGTGCAGTCAGGCCCCAGCACCCACCGTCTCCTGCCTGGTTTTGGCACGTTTCTGCAGCAAACCAGAGCCGCCCTCCCCAGCGCTGTCGTCGTCCTCACTGTCCTCCACAAATGCCCGGAAGCTGCCCATGAGAGAAAAGCCTCAGGACAGGTAGGCTGGCCCCTGTCTGCTGCCCCAACATTCATTTTATTTTGTATAGATGGGGTCTTCCTATGTTGCCCAGGCCGGTCTTGAACTTCTGGGCTCAAGTGATCCTCCCTCTTCTGCCTCCCAAAGCCCTGGGATTACAGGCATGAGCCACGTCACCCGACTGGCCGCCCCAAGATGAACCCCATTTACTAAGCCCTGACCTCTCCTCTCAACAAGCTCAGAGTCGTGCTGTGATGTCATTAACCTCATTTAACTGGTGAGAAAACAGAAGTAGGTAGACAGAAAGTGACAGAGCTCAATTTGAACACCTGCCTGTCTAATCCCTGAGCCTCAACTTTCCTCCACTGGCCACTCCGGACGGCCCAGCCTCACCTTTCCTTGAGCTGTTTCTGTTCCTCCACATAACTTTGTGACAAGGTCCGCTGTGGAGGAGAGAGGGCTGTGGGTCTCAGGCCAGCCCCAGGCCCGGCACCCCCAGACCCAGTCTCCATCCCACACACCTGGAGTCTGTGATTGGAAGTCTCCCCATCTGAGTTCTCCTCGTCAACATATTTGCTGTACAGGAAAAGTGAGGTCTTCAGAAAGTATCTTCCAGGGCCCGCCTGTCCCCATGCCCCATGCAAGGCAGCTGTTCCAAGCAACAGCTGGTGGGGGTCCTGGAAGGCTTATGGAGTCACTGAGGCTCCTGTGCTCAGGGGTATCTGCAATTCTGCTGAGTTTCCACCTTTTTGTATTTTTAGTAGAGATGGGGTTTTGCCATGTTGGCCAGGCTGGTCTCCTGACCTCAGGTGATCCACCCGTCTCGGCCTCCCAAAGTGCTGCCTTTTTTTTTTGGAAACAAGGTCTTGCTTTGTTGCTTAGGCTGGAGTGCAGCAGCCTCCATCTCCTGGGCTCAAGCCATCCTCCCGCCTCAGCCTCCTGAGGAGCTGGGCCTGTACAGAGACCCATCATCATGCCCAGCTAATTTTTAATGTTGTAGAGACAAGTATGTTGCCCAAGCTAGTCCCGAACTCCTGTCCATCCTATCGCCTTGGCCTACCAAAGTGCTAGGATTACAGGCACGAGGCACCAAGCCTGGCCCAGGTTGCCAGCTTTTTTCCTCTCCTGCCCCAAGACCCCCATAAACCTGAGAGGGCTGGGGACAAGGGGGTGGAGATGTGGGCCTTCTCCATACCCTTCCTTTTCCAGGATGACCTTCCTCTCGTAGTCCTTCAGGTACATGGGCCGTACTTTTTTCTGCTTCTCCGAAGCTGCTGGCTCCTCCTCGCTGTCTGATGACGATGCTGTTAACCCACCAAGACACCTGCCATCACCCACAACCCCCTTCTTTCCTCTGGCAGCGAATCCCAAAAGGCAGGTCCAAGGTTAGACAGAAGATTCAAATCCCCAATCCACCAATTCCCAGCTGTCTAAGAGTACTGTGCTTGTCTGGTGGGGTTGGGGCCATTCTGTCAGCAATTCCTGCTTTGACTATTATTATTTTTCTGAGACAGTCTCACTATGTTGCCCGAGCTGGAGTGCATGGCGTAATCTCGGCTCACTGCATCCTCTGAATCCCAGGTTCAAGCAATTATCCTGCCTCAGCCTCCCGAGTAGCTGGGATTACAGGTGTGCAAAACCACACCCAGCTAATTTTTGTATTTTTAGTAGAGACAGGGTTTCACCATGTTGGCCAGGCTGATCTCCAACTCCTAACTTCAAGTGATCCTCCTACCTCAGCCTCCCAAAGTGCTAGGATTACAGGCATGAACAACCATGCTCAGCTTGATTAATTATTGTAATTAGTTTTTTGAGAGTTGGGGTCTCAGTCTGTTGCTCAGGCTGGAGTGCAGTGTCAAGATCCTAACTCACAGCTCACTGCAGCTCAAACTCATGGTCTCAAGCAATCCTCCCACCTCAGCCTCCCAAATACCTGGGACACTAGGCACATGGCAGCATGTCCAGCTAAGTTCTGTATCTTTTGTAAAAATGGGGTCTTGCAGCCAGATGCAGTGGCTCACGCCTGTAATCCCAGCACTTTGGGAGGCTGAGGTGGGCAGATCACAAGGTCAGGAGTTTGAGACCAGCCAGATCAAGACCAGCCTGGTCAACATTGTAAAACCCCATCTCTACTAAAAATTGAAAAATTGGCCAGGTTTGGTGGGGGCGCCTGTAATCCCAGCTACTCGGGAGGCTGAGGCAGGAGAATTGTGTGAACCTGGGAGGTGTATGCTGCAGTGAGCCGAGACTGCACCACTGCACTCCAGCCTGGGTGACAGAGCAAGACTCTGTCTCCAAGAGAAAAAAAATGGGGTCTTGCTATGTTGCCCACACTTGTCTCAAACTCCTGGCCTCAAGTGACCCTCCTACCTCAGCCTCCCAAAGTGCTGGGATCAGAGGTGTGAACAATCTGCCCAGCCTAGTGGAGTTGGAATCACTCAGTCAGCAACTCCCACCATGAACAGTGCCAAGCACACAGTCATTATCCCACCACCAGGTAATAACCTAGGCTCTTGCTAAGGACTTGTGAAGCAATTCATTCAATAATCACAACAGATGAATTGTGTAAACTGGGTAAATCCCAATCTATCCTTAAATCTACCCTCAGGGCTGTTGGTACAATTAGATATACTTTACAGACAGGAAAAGATGCTGAGAGAATTCAAGACACTTCTCTGAATCCACACAGGAAAGGACCCAGGATTCCATTCCCGCGAAATGAAGGAGAGGCTGACAGGCATGCCCCCAGACCTGTTCTCTGATAGAAGGTGGCATCTTTCTGATAAATGCGGGGGTCCTTCTTCTTCAACAAGGAGAGCGTTCTGTAAAAGTCCCGCTCCTGCTGGGGGTCAAATTCCTAGGGCAGGAAAAGGGTTGGGGACAGACTTTAGAAGGCAGTAGTAAGAGCTCTGGCACCAGCAGGTGAGCTCAGCGTAGGGATTAGGATGGAGGGAGGGAGGATCTGGCTGGGGAGAGAGGCAGGTGTCAAACAGCAGGAGGGAGGGGCCCTCTTGGGGTGGGCAAGGGCAGGCCACAGGTGTACAGGATATGGATAAAGGAAGGCGAGGGGCAAGAAGGTAATTCCTGGGGAAGACAAGGACTTGACAAGGAGCAGGTGGGCTGAGGGCGCAAGGGAGACAGCGGGCAGTGGCTGGGCCAGGCCGCACAGTGGGGCCAAAATCAGGGTTGATGTGGGCAGAAGTTGGGCGCCCCACGTGGCACAAGGCGTACACTGAAAAATGGCTAGACTCTTGAGGATGAAAGGGGAAGGGGGTTCTTGAGGGACCGAGGAGTCGCCCCAAAATCAAAGTCGGCAGGTGGATCGTGGCAGGGGAGGGAAAATAGGGGGGGATTTGGCTCCCATGGGCAGAGGAAGGGAGCTTTCCGTCCCTCATGGGATGGGGGGCCGCGGCTGGACGCTCCGGCAGAGCGCCCTGGGGTTGAGGGTTAACCCCCGCATCTACGTTGGGGTCGGTAGGTGGCTTGGACTCCTCTGCATGCCCAGGACGGGAAGGGGACACGCACCACGCGCTCGTCACTGGAGTCCGACTCGGAGCTAGAGTCGCCGCCGCTGTCCCGGTCCCCGTAGCGATCCTTCACTGCGGGGCACAAACGGAATGCCCCCCGGGTCAGCCGGCGGGCCAGATCGACTCCCCACTTCCCAACCGTCCAGCGCGCGTAGGTTCCCGCGCGCATGCGCTCCACACTCACGCCGCTGCAGTTCTTCGCGCTCCCGGTAGCGGTTGTACCGCGCGGCAAACGCCGCGTTCACCCGCAACTGCGACGATCCCCGCGGTTCCGGCATGGCGGCTCTGTGGCCCACTGCGCATGCGCATTGAGGAAGTCCATGAGGGCGGGAGCGAGGGCGGCCCCGCCCACATCCACCTTTAAAGAAGGCGGACCGCGCCTAACCCCGCCCCTGGCTTCTCTGGGACCTCTTTCGCCTCTGGACCGCAGTCACCACCCACGGCTACGCCCCTGAGGGAAAGGACCGCGGCCACCGCCCACCCGCCCCACCCCCGGGGCTCGGGGCACCCAGCTGACATCTGGGGGCCCTTTCTCCACTCGCGGTTTCCTGCTTCCCTTCCGTTCCGACAGAGAAAACCGCTGCCCCACCCAGCTCACTCACCCCAGGCGCCCTGGGAATTACTATTCTCTCCCCTCACCCACGGCATCCACGATCCTCGACCTCCGTCCTCATCCCCATCAACATCCAAGATGTGTGACCCCCCTTCCCAGACTCAAAAATCAGAAGCCACCCGCGCTGTGATCATGCACAAATCTTAATTTAATGGGTAAAAACATTAAATTATTACACACAACATTTTTTCCAATAAAGCATAATAAATAGAATCCATTTCTTTTAAAACGCTGTACAAGAGACTGGAAAACAAGCTTCCAACAGAATATAAACTCATGCTACCTTCTTATTGATTTAGGACGCTCTCCCACCCCCATGCCTGAAGCAACGTCACTTCAGGTCTCTGAGCACAGCTGGCCAAGGTCACCAGGTTCCAGGAGCTCTGGAAATGACGACCTCACTCTTAAATGCTCGGCCCTTGCCTTGTCTGAGGCACAGAAGAAACTGAACCGTTTAGGTGGCTGTGGACTGCGGAGCCCTTCTCTGTCCAACACACCAAAAGGGGTGAGAAAAACAAATGAGAAACGTCCCCCAAACACACACACACACACACACCCAAAACCAACACCTATAAGCCACAAACTGGTGCTCCTCCCCTGCTGCGGCAGTGGGCAGGAGAAACAAGAAGAGAAAGTGTTTCTTCCCCTCTCTCCTGATATATAACCCCATGGGGTCCTCTTGCTAGAGAGAGTGACCCCAGATCACAGCGGGGCCACCATGTGCCCCTGCAGGATGTCCACGAGGTCCTGAGCCCCTCTCTGCAGTGCCAGCTCCAGGGGTGTGAGCCCCCTGGCATCCCTGCGATGGAGATCAGATTCAGCCGCCAGAAAGTTGACTACAGCAGTGTGACCTTCTTGCACCGCCAGATGAATGGGAAGTGCCCCGGTGCCATCAGGCGCGTTGACATCAGCCCCATGCTCCACTAGGACCTTCAGGGTATCCAGGAATCCAGTGCGGGCTGCGTCATGGATTGGACTGGTACCAGAGGTGTCCTGGACATTGGGGCTGGCACCTTGCTTCAGCAGCTCCAGGGCAATGGTGGTGCTGCCAAACATCATGACCTGTGTGAGGGACAGAGGATCAGGAGGTCTTCGAGGGAAGGGGTTCCAAAAAAGGGGTCACTGGAGAGAGAAGGGTCATCCAGAAAGAGGCATCTCCTAGGAACAGGATATGCCAGAGGAGGGGTCCTCTAGTGAACGGGGAAGCTGCATAAGCCCCCTGGGAACTGTTTGAGAACGCAGAGAAAAAGTTCTCCTGGGAATAGAGAACCCTTTCCTCCCCGCCCCCCCACCCCCCCACCGCCTGTCCTCACCCCAACCCGCCAGAAGCTGGTCACTCCCTTAAGAATAATATCAGTCCCCCAACCCAGAGAACAGCCCCCATGGAAATTTTCAAGGAACCTGACTCTCCTCCAAGGGACCAAAGACACCCCAGATATGGGCAATCACCAGGAAATATAAAATCCCCTCCAGGAAATGGGCCCCAAGAGACTGAGAACTACCCCAAAGAACTTGACAGTCCTCAAAAGGAAAAAGAGATGCCAAAGAAAAGTGAACCCCACCGCCATTCTCCAGGAAATAGCCTCCTCCTATATAATGATGATGTCACTTCAGGGTACCTGAGAGCTCCTTTCAAAAAACAGGATTCTGACCAGTGCAGGGCTCACGCCTGTAATCTTAGCACTTTGGGAGGCTGAAGAGGGTGGATCAGCTGAGGTCAAGAGTTCAAGATCAGCCTGGCCAACTTGGCGAAACCCCGCCTCTACTAAAAATACAAAAATTAGCCAGGCGTGGTGGCAGGGGCCTGTAATCCCAGCTACTCGGGAGTCTGAGGGTGGAGAATCGCTTGAACCAGGGAGGTGGAGGTTGCAGGGAGCCAAGATTGTGCCACTGCACTCCAGCTTCCAAAAAAAAAAAAATTAAAAAAAAAAAAAAAAAAAAAAAGAGAGAGAGAGAAAAGAAAGGAAAGGAGGATTCCAAAAGCAGTAAGAGAAAGGAGACTCCTCTGTAACACGTCTCCCAAGGGAATATAGGGACTCTTACAATCTGACACTGTTTCTCCTCCGGGGCCCCCACACTATACCAAAGATCCGCATAAACTTTGGGAATTAAGATCCCACCCCCAAGTAACCAAATATGTCTCAGAGAGCCCCCTACAAAATGAGGAACCCCTGGAGACCGGACCTCTCCTTCCAGAGATCGGATCTTCCCATAGAAGCCCCCAAAAATGTGAGCCGTCCCCAGGGAAAAGGCATCCAAAGAAGCTGAACCCACGGAATAGAAAACCTCCCCAGAGAAAAAGAATCCCCTGCACTCAGAGAACCAGGAATCCTCCCAGAGAAGAATCTGGAAAGCTATCCCCTCCCCCTCCAACCTAGCCTCACCCACCACCCACCTTCGAAAGGGGACCATGGGGGAACAATAAAAGCCTAGAGAAGAAGGACCGGTCCCCAGTAGGTTGCACCACCAGGGCCAAGAGACCAGAGGAGAGGGGCTCTGGGGTCTCAACACTCACCTCGCTGAGCCGCCCCGCCCCGCCCCTGACCTGAGCCAGCCCGGCCTCACCTGCAGCGCCGTCTTGCCAAAGCGGTTGAGGGCGTCGGGATGCACCAGCTCGCGATGCAGAAGGCGGCGCACCTCCTGCACGTCGCCCCGGGCCGCGGCCCCACTCAGCCGGTCGCCGGCGCAGACCTCCTCCAGCAGCATGTCGACAATGACGGCCTGCGAAGTCCCCCACCCCGCCCCAGCCAGGCGCCGTCAGCACCGAGGAGCCGGCGGGCGCTGGCCCGAACAGCCCTCCCGGGGCGCGGCCGCGGTGCGCCTCGCTGCGCTGCACTCCCGGCCCGGCTCCCCAGCCCGAGACCCCGGCCCTCCCAGCGGGCTCCTCCCCCTGTCAGCCGGCCCCCGGTGGGGGGCCGGGAGTCCGGCCCAACCCTCGGCCGCCCGCGGGGCCCTGCCCGGCGCCCGCCCCTTGGGGGCCGGGTCTCCCCCCAACTCACCCTCCCTCCTCCTAGCCGGGCGGGGTCTGCTCTGAGCCTGCGCCGCCGCAGCAGCCAGGGCAGCCGCCAGGGGGCGGAGCCAACGTGCTCCCGGCCCCGCCCCGAACTCCGGGGATTTGTTTTCTTACAAATTCGCTACTGTGTAACGATGCCGCTTTGCCTGTGGCGCAACCTTACGGCGCTCCGCCCACAGGACTGCGTAACCAATGGATTGGCGTCGCCGGGGTAATTTCGGGCTCGGGGTGAAAGACGTCGCTCCTGTTTGGTCAGAGCGCGGCAACCGGTGGCCTGCCAGCAATGGCGGGGTTTTCGGTTTTCAAATGTACTCGGCGGGCGGGAAAGACGGTCGGTTTAACTGACCCAGGGGGAAAGGTCAAGGACAGGGTAGAGCGGGAAAGACGGTCGGTTTAACTGACCCAGGGAGAAAGGTCAAGGACAGGGTGGAGCGGGCTGCTCCGGGACCTCGGCGCCTCCTGGGGGAAGGGAGGCAGGGCTGGGGCCACCCAATCTGGGGTTCCACTACTAATAGACATTGATTGGCCCTTACTACACGCTGGGCGCTTTATTTCATTAACTCATCTTTTCCTGTGTGCAGGGAGCGTTCTGGGTGCTGCACGCGCACATTCAAGCAACTAAATAATATTAGCGTAAAGCACAGTGAAGAAAGGGAGATGGGGAGACGGGGTAGAAGAGGAAGGGATCACCCTGCCTGGCTCAGACTGAGCCAGGAGGAAAGGAGCCTGCAGTTGCCACGTGAGAAGGCCTGGGAGGACAGAGTCGCAGACAGACAGGGACTCAGAGGTCTTCGCTCAAAGATTTATTTGGCACCACCTAGAGGTGCCAGAGCGGAGAGCATGCCAGGCAGCCCCTGCTGTAGGGACACCTATGGTTTGGGGCCGGAGACAATAGTTAATTTTTATTTATTTTTGAGACAGGGTCTCACTCCCATCACCCAGGCTGGAGTGCAGTGGCGAGATCACAGCTCACTGCAGCCTCAACTTCCCGGGCTCAAGTGATCCAACCGCCTCAGCCTCCGGAGTAGCTGTGACTAAGGACGCACCACCACGCCCACCTAATTTGTATTTTTAGTTCAGATTGGGTTTCACCATGTTGCCCAGGCTGGTGTTTTTGGTTGGTTTGTTTTTTGTTTTTAAATACAGATTTTTTTTTTGAGACCTAGTTTCGTTGTTGTTACCCAGACTGGAGTGCAATGGCACAGTCTCGGCTCACCGCAACCTCCGCCTCCTGGGTTCAAGCAATTCTCCTGCCTCAGCCTCCCGAGTAGCTGGGACTACAGGCGCGCACCACCATGCCCAGCTAATTTTTTGTATTTTTTTTTTTTTTTGAGACGGAGTTTCGCTCGTTACCCAGGCTGGAGTGCAATGGCGCGATCTCGGCTCACCGCAACCTCCGCCCCCTGGGTTCAGGCAATTCTCCTGCCTCAGCCTCCTGAGTAGCTGGGATTACAGGCACACGCCACCGTGCCCGGCTAATTTTTTGTAATTTTTAGTAGAGACGGGGTTTCACCATGTTGACCAGGATGGTCTCAATCTGCCGACCTCGTGATCCACCCGCCTCGACCTCCCAAAGTGCTGGGATTATAGGCGTGAGCCACTGCGCCCGGCCAGATTTTTTTTTTTTTAAGACAGAATCTCGCCCTGTCGCCCAGGCTGGAGTGAGTAGCGTGATCTCGGCTCACTGCAACTTCCGCCTCCTGGGTTCAAGCGATGCTCCTGCCTCAGTCTCCCAAGTAGCTGACACTACAGGTGTATGCCACCACACCTGGCTAATTTTTTTGTATTTTTAGTAGAGACAGGATTTCTCGCCGTGTTAGCCAACATGGTCTCAATCTCCTGACCTCGTGATCCGCCGCCTCAGTCTCCCAGAGGGCTGGAATTACAGGCATGAGCCACTGCTCCCGGCCCAGATATATATATATATATATATATATATATATATATATATATATTTTTTTTTTTTTTTTTTTTTTTTAAATGTTGGGGTTCTTGCTATGTTTTCCAGGCTGGTCTCAAATTCCTGGGCTCAACGGATCCTTCTGCCTCCGCCTCCCAAAGTGCTGGGTTACAGGCATGGGCCCCTTACACCCGGCCAGTAGTTAAAAATCTTTTCAGAGCGGTAGAGGCGACTGACCAGATGAGCCGTTGAAATGGAAAGGTAGAGAGGGCCTCCCTGAAGAGGTGACATTTGATTTGAGATGTAACGGTGAGGGAGGGAGACTTGTGGTTATAAGGGGAAAAGCACACCAGGTGGGAAACACAGCAGATGCTAAGGCCCAGAGGTGAGAGTGTGCCTGTGCAGAGGAGGGGAGAGCAGGTAGGTGGGGGATCAAGGTGGCATTGTGCAGATCAAGCCATGGCTTTTTTTTTTCCCCCTCCCTTTTTTGAGTCAGAGTCTCGCTCTGTCACCCAGGCTGGAGTGCAGTGGCCCAATCTCAGCTCACTGCAACCTCCACCTCCCCATTTCAAGCGATTCTCATGCCACGGCCTCCTGAGTAGCTGGGATTACAAGCACCTGGTACAACGGTCGGCCAATTTTTGTACTTTTTAGTAGAGACAGGATTTCACCATGCTGGCCAAGCTGGTCTTGAACTCCTGACACCAAGTGATCCCCCTGCCTCAGCTTCCCAAAGTGCTGGGATTACAGGCGTGAGCCACTGAGCCCGGCCCAGGCTATGGCTTTAATAAATTAGGAATGCCGCGTGCAGTGGCTCACGCCAGTAATCCCAGCACTTTGGGAGGCCGAGGCGGGCGGATCACAAGGTCAGGAGAACAAGAGCATCCTGGCTAACACGGTGAAACCCCATCTCTACTAAAAATACAAAAAAAAAAAAAAAATTAGCCAGGCATGGTGGCAGGCACCTGTAGTTCCATCTACTTGGGACACTGAGGCAGGAAAATTGCTTGAACCCAGGAGGCGGAGGTTGCAGTGAACCGAGATCACACCACTGCACTCCAGCCTGGGCGACAGAGCGAAACTCCGCCTCAAAAAAAACACACACACACACACACACACACACGCACACACAAACATTAGCCAAGAGTGGTGGCGGGCGCCTGTAGTCCCAGCTAGGTGGGAGGCTGAGGCAGGAGAATCACTTGAACCCGGGAGGCACAGGTTGCAGTGAGCCAAGATTGCGCCACTGCACTCTAGCCTGGGCAACAGTGAGACGGTCTCAAAAAAAAAAAGCGAAGCTAACGGGCGCCCTCTAGCGGCTATTGGGGGAACAGACTGGAGGTGGGAAGCGAAGGCAGGTGGGTGCGGACCAGGAAAGAAACTGACTGACCCGGGTCCCAAGTGAGCGATGACCAGGGAGTGTCGCCCGCTCGCACTGCAGCACTTGAGCAATGTCCCCATCCAAAAAGCACATAGACAGCGGCTAGATTCATCTTTTTAATGACATCCTAAAATTCAGAGGAGGGGCCAGCGGGGCCTCTGGGCTCAGCAGCTGTGAAGGAGGGACCTGCAACACGCGCTAAGGCAGGTCATTGCAAAAAAGGCACTCGCCACGGGGACTTCAAGCCCCTTTTCTATTTCTTCATATAAAATCAGGAGGACAGGGAAAACTCCAAGGGCGAGGGAAGCAGAGAGTTTCTCTCCCAGCCTATGGAGTAAGGAAGAGGTGAGGAAGGGGCCGGTGCTGGGAGCGAGAAACTGCCAAGTACAGGCCTGCCCTCACAGACACGCAAAGCCCGCACCTTCCCTCTTAAAATCTGCAGCCGGGGCTGTAAGGAAGCCTCCTGTTCAAGTCCGCATCTCTTCTCCCTTCTAGCTGGTACGAAGTTGGTAATCTGCAGAGAAAGAATGAGCAGGGGCCATCTGAGAAATGGGAAGAGGAGGGTCGGACGTGGTGGTTTACACCTGTAATCCCAGCACTTTGGGAGGCCGAGGTGGGTGGATCAATTGAGATCAGGATTTCTAGACCAGCCTGGCCAGCATGGTGAAACCTCCTCTCTACAAAAATTAGCTGGACACGGTGGCGCACACCTGTAATCCTAGCTACTCCGGAGGCTGAGGCAGAAGAATCGCTTGAACCTGGGAGGTAGAGATTGCAGTGAGCTGAGATCGTGCCTCTGCACTCCAGCCTGGGCGACAGAGCGAGACTACCATCTCAAAAAAGAAAAGAAATGAGCCGGGAAGGAAGAGGGACAGCCTCCCACGCCACTTCAATTTATCCCTGACCTCAGCACTCATGATCATCAAGGCTAAGAATGGGGCTAATAGGCTGGGCACGGTGGCTCACGCCTGTAGTCCCAGCACTTTGGGAGGCTGAGGCAGGAGGATCATCTGAGGTTAGGAGTTTGAGACCAGCCTGGCCAACATGGCAAAACCCTATCTCTACTAAAAATACAAAAATTAGCTAGGCGTGGTGGCAGGCATCTGCAATCCCAGCTACTCAGGAGGCTGAGGCAGGGAAAATTGCTTGAACCTGGGAGGCAGAAGTTGCAGTGAGCTGAGATCATGCCATTGCACTCCAACCTGAGTGACAGAGCGAGACTCTGTCATAAGAACAAAAAGACAAGACTGGGGCTGAAGACGGGTACTGTAACCATAGCAACAAGCTGGTGTCCAGGCAGCAGGTGGGGGTTCTGTATGTTCATCCCCTTCTCCAAATCACGACCACCCTAGAGCTATCGATTGCCCAATTTTTTTTTTTTTTTTTTTTTTCCTTTTGAGCCAGGGTCTCACTATTGTCCAGGCTGGAGTGCAGTGGCACAATCATGGCTTACTGCAGCCTCGACCTCCTGGGCTCAGGCAATCCTCCCACCTCAGCCTGGTGAGTTGCTGGGATTACAGGTATACACATCATACCTGGCTAATTTTTACATTTTTTGTAGAGAAGCAGTTTTCCTGTGTTGCCAAGGCTGGTCTGGAACTCCTGAGCTCAAGCAGTTCCTACCACCTCAGCCTCTCAAAGTGCTGAAATTACAGATGTGAGCCACCAGGTGAGTACACCTGGGTCAACTGCCCTCATTTTAAAGATGGGCAAACCAAGGCTCACAGTGCCATGACAAGAAGAAGCAATTCTTTTTTTTTTTTGAGACAGGGTATCTGTTGCCCAGGCTGGAGTGCAATGGCACGATCTCAGCTCACCGCAACCTCCGCCTTCTGGGTTCCAGCAATTCTCCTGCCTCAGCCTCCCAAGTAGCTTGGATTATAGGCACGTGCCACTACACCTGGCTAATTTTTAGTAGAAACAGGGTTTCACTATGTTGGCCAGGTTGGTCTCGAACTCCTGGCCTCAAGACATCCGCATGCCTTGGCCTCCCAAAGTGCTGAGATTACAGGTGTGAACCACTGCACTCAACCCTTCTTGAGTTTTCTTTTTTTCTTTTCTATTTTCTTTCTTTTTGAGACAGAGTCTCGCTTTGTTGCTCAGGCTAGAGGGCAGTGGCGCGATCTCAGATCAATGCAACCTCTCCCTCCCAGATTCAAGCAATTCTCCTGCCTCAGCCTCCCAAGTAGCTGGGATTACAGGCATGTGCCACCATGCCCAGATAATTTCTTGTCTTTTTTAGTAGAGACGGGGTTTCACCATGATGGCCAGGCTGGTCTTGAACTCCTGATCTCAGGTGATCCACCTGCCTTGGACTCCCTAAGTGCTGGGATTACAGGTATGAGCCACCTCGTCTGGCTGCCTTCTTGAGTTTTCTGAACCAGAATGTGGTGAGAGCCCTGAGTTCCTACCCACTGCCCTTCCCTCACCCCACCGTCCCTGCAAGCCCGGCTGCCTTACCGCCACTCTGGGTGATGTAGCGAACCCAGGGCAGGGCCTGGTAACCGCTTTTCTCAATGATCTTCATGTATCGGACCTGGAAGGGAATGAAAAGAGGTGGTCCACGATTGCGGTAGGGAGGCGGCCAGGGCCAGGGAGAAAGAGATGGCTTAGGCCAAGGGGCTATGTGGCACAGGCTGGGCTCACTGAGGGAACATGACATGGTCTCAGGAGACGAGGTGGCACAGGCAAGGGAGCAGTGAATGGCTTGGAGGTGGAGAAGGGAGAGAAATGAACAAGCCAGTGGGGAACACGGTGGCACAGGCTGGAGCGGTGGAGGCCCAAGCTGCAAGCAGGTAGAAGTAACATTGCTCTCGGGAAAGGCCAGGAAGCCATCAGAGGAGTGGACGTAGGCCGGGGGACAGGAGAGAAAGGAACACACCAAAGTCAAGGGGAGGAGCCTCCCCATCGGCTTCTCTCACCTGGATCCCAGAGACGGTGAAGTAGGGGATCTCAAACCTGACCCCGATAGGGGGCCGGCCCTCCACCTCCTCCTTCTCCACGCTGGGGAGGCCAAAGTGGGCTCGCATCAAGTACTCCTTGCCCCCCTGAGGGAACACGGGTGCATCAGACACACCAGGGTCCCTCAACCCCTGGAGCAAGATGTGCTCACAGCAGTTTTCACAGACAGGAAAATGACAGCTCCTTAGCCTGGGCAACAGAGTGAGATCCCATCTCTACAAAAAATTTAAAAATTAAAGCCAGGCACGGTGGCTCACGCCTGTAATCCTAGTACTTTGGGAGACCCAGGTAGGTGATCACCTGAGGTCAAGAGCTCGAGACCAGCCTGACCAACATGGAAAAACCCTGTCTTTACTAAAAATACACAAAAAAATTACCTAGGTGTGGTGTGCATTCCTGTAATCCCAGCTACTTGGGAGGCTGAGGCAGGATAATCGCCTGAACCCAGGAGGTGGAGGTTGCAGTGAGCCAAGATCGCACCATTGCACTCCAGCCTGGGCAAGAAGAGTGAAACTCCATCTCAAAAAATTAAAAAAAAAAAATTGAGCTGGGTGCAGTGGAACATGCCTGTAGTGTCAGCTACTCGGGAGGCTGGGGCAGGAAGATCCCTTGAGCCTGGGAGCTTGAGGCTGTGGTGAGCTGTGACCGCTCCGCTGCACTCCAGCTTGGGTGACAGATTCACCAGCGAAGATTCGGACTGCAAAACCCAGTTGTTTTTTTTTAAATTACCATGTCCTGTTTTACAGGCACTGATGATCCACCTCTCCCCAGATCACGGGGACAAGCCGAAACGTCCAGCAGCCCAGGGATTTCACAGACGGGCAAACTGAGTCTCCTTGAGGGGAAATGCGTTTCCCAAGCCCACCCAGCTCAGCAAAGCAAGGGTGAGGAAGCTGAACCCAGGGCCAGTTTCCTCGAGATGTTGGCAGGGGGACACTTAAACCCACTTCCCATCATGGAGGCTTAGTGTAACCCTCTGAAATAGACTGGCCTGGTTTCCAGCCTGATCACTCCCAAAGAATCATCACCTGCGTAGGTACCTCTCTCTGATTTATTTTTATTTCTTTACTTTTTTTTTTTTTTTTTTTGAGATGGAGTCTCACTCTGTTGACAGTCTGAAGTGCAGTGGCGCAATCTCGGCTCACCGCAACCTCTGCCTCCCGGGTGCAAGTGATTCTCCTGACTCAGCCTCCCAAGCAGCTGGGATTACAGGTGCGTGCCACCACGCTCGGCTAATTTTTGTATTTTTAGTAGAGACGGGGTTTCACCATTTTGGCCAGAATGGTCTCGCTCTCTGGACCTCTTGTGATCCGCCCGCCTCGGCCTCCCAAAATGCTGGGATTACAGGTATGAGCCACTGCGCCCAGCCTCTTTCCTCTTAATCTTTTTTTTCCTTTCGAGATGGAGTCTCACTCCTCCATCACCCAGGCTTAAGTCAGGTAACTCGATCTCAGCTCACTGCAACCTCCGCCTCCCAGGTACAAGCAATTCTGCCTCAGTCTCCCAAGCAGTTGGGTTTACAGGCATACACTATCATGCCCGGCTAATTTTTATATTTTTAGTAGAGACAGGGTTTCACCATGTTGGCCACACTGGTCTTGGTCTCCTGACCTTAGGTGATCCACCCACCTCAGCCTCCCAAAGTGTTGGGATTACAGGTGTGAGCCACCGCGCCAGGTATCTTAATTTTTTTTTTTTTTTTTTAGAAGGAGTCCTCTCGCTCTGTTGCCCAGGCTGGAGTGCAGTGGCATGATCTCAGCTCACTGCAATGTCTGCCTCCCGGTCTCAAGCAATTCTTCTGCCTCAGCCTCCAGAGCAGCTGGGACTACAGGTGCACGCCACCACACCCAGCTAATTTTTGCATTTTTAGTAGAGATGGGGCCATGTTGGCCAGGATGGTCTCGATCTCTCAACCTCGTGATACACCTGCCTCAGCCTCCCAATGTGCTGGGATTACAGGCGTGAGCCACCACACCCTGCCTCTCTGAATCTTTTTATAGAGGCAGGGTCTCACTGTGTTGCCCAGGCAGATCTCCAACTCCTGGGTTCAAGCAATCTGCCCATGTCGGCCTCTCAAAGTGCTGGGATTCCAGGCATGAGCCACCACACCTTACTGCATCTGATTTCTTCTCTGCCTTGTTCTCATGTGTCTTGGCCAGTCTTGACGCTACTCCAGCCACCCCTACCCCAGATTCCCCACCAGTCCCTAGTCCTTACCGGGAAAGACTTAATACTCCAAATCACAACGTTTTTCTCTGGCACATACTTGGCGCTGCCCACACTGGTCTTGAATCTGGGGGAGTCGGCATCACTAGGCACAGGCACAGATATCTCCACACCGTTGGCCACTGACTGTTTCTTAAACTGCCCCTTGGCCTATCAGAGGGGAGAGCATGCAGCATGAAGAATTCGACTGCACACCCTACAAATATTCACCAAGCCCTTTCCTACGCCATCTCAGCCAGGGCTCCACATTCTAAGGTGGCGACATTATCCTGTCCAGTTTTTGTTTGTTTTTTGAGACAGAGTCTCGCTCTGTTGCCCAGGCTGGAGTGTAGTGGCACAATCTCAGCTCACTGCAACCTCTGCCTCCTAGGTTCAAGAGGTTATTCTGCCTCAGAGCCCCCGGCCCCCGCGCCCCCCGGAGTAACTGGGACTACAGGTACACGCCACCATGCCCAGCTAATTGTTTTGTATTTTTAGTAGAGACGAGGTTTCACCATATTAGCCAGGCTGGTCTCGATCTCCTGACCTTGTGATGCACCCACCTCAGCCTCCCAAAGTGCTGGGATTGCAGGAATGAGTACCATGCCTGCCTATCCTGTCCATTTTGCAGACAAGGAAACTGAGGTACACAGAAGTTAAGGCATTTCCCTGCAGATACACAGCCAACAAGTGGTAGAGCCAGGGCCACACCCGTGAGCCACCAGAAGCCCCGCTCTTGGTGCCTTCCATTTGGACAGCACCATACACCTCTGCCTGATTCAAAATGACCCCTTCTGGCCTGCCGCAATGGTTCATGCCTGCAATCCCAGCATTTTGGGAGGCCGAGGGTGAAGCAGGCAGATACCCTGAGGGCAGGAGTTCTACTAAAAATACAAAAATTAGCTGGGCATGGGGGCACTCACCTATAATCCCAGCTACTCCAGAGGCTGAGGCAGGCAAATCACTTGAACTCAGGAGGCAGAGGTTGCAGTGAGCCGAGAACGTGCTACTGCACTCCAGCCTGGGCAACAGAGGGAGATTCCGCCTCAAAACGAACAAACCAACCCCTCAGTCCAGCACAGAAGAGTTGTTTTTTGTTTTGGTTTGGTTTGGTTTGTTTGTTTTTTGAGACAGTCTCACTCTGTCGCCCAGGCTAGAGTGCAGGGGCACAATCTCAGCTCACCGAAACTTCCACCTCCCAGGTTTAAGCCATTCTCCTGCCTCAGCCTCCCAGGTAGCTGGCGTTACAGGCGCGCAGCACCACGCCTGGCTAATTTTTGCATTTTTAGTAGAGACGGGGTTTCACCATGTTGGTCAGGCTAGTCTCGAACTCCTGACCTCATGATTCACTCGCCTTGGCCTCCCAAAGTGCTGGAATTACAGATGTGAGCCACCTTGTCTGGCCTGTTTTGTTGTTGTTGTTTTAGATATGAAGTTTCACTCTTATTGCCCAGACTAGAGTGCAATGGCATGCTCTCGGCTCACCACAACCTCTGCCTTGGAGTTCAAGCGATTCTCCTGCCTCAGCCCCCTGAGTGACTGGGATTAAGGTGAGCGCCACCACACCTGGCTAATATTTGTATTTTTAGTAGAGACAGGGTTTCACCATGTTGGCCAGGCTGGTCTTGAACTTCTGACCTCAGGTGATCTGCCCACCTCGGCCTCCCAAAGTGCTGGGATTACAGGTATGAGCCATGACTCCCAGTGAAGTTTTCCTTTGGTAACTGACTGTTTTTTGGGGGGGTGGGTTCCAGCTCTATCATCCAGGCTAGAGTCCTTGGCTCACTGCAACCACCTCCTCCTCCTGGGTTCAAGCAATCCTCCCACCTTAGCCTCCCAAGTAATTGGGATCACAAGGACTCACCACTATGCCAGGCTAATTGTTGTATTTTTTTTGTAGAAACAGGGTTTTGCCATGTTGCCCAGGTTGGTCTCAAAGTCCTGGGCTTAAGTGATCTGCCTGCTCCAGACTCCCAAAGTGCTGGGATTACAGGCATGAGCCACTGCACCCACCTGAGCTCATGCATTGTTAATAACCATGCTCCCAAGGCCCACCTTGACCATGATCTCCACACGGCTGTGGGAGAACTTCTCAATGACAGACTCAATCCAGATCAGTGGCTTCACCTGTGGACAAAAGATGGGAGCAGTTGTTGGAGACTCCAGGGTCACTCTCTCTTTTTTTTTTTTTTTTTTTTTGAGACAGAGTCTTGCTCTGTCACCCAGGCTGGAGTGCAGTGGCGCGATCTCGGCTCACTGCAACCTATGCCTCCTGGGTTCAAGTAATTCTGCTGCCTCAGCCTCCTGAGTAGCTAGGACTACAGGTGTGTGCCACCACACCCAGCTAATTTTTGTATTTTTAATAGAGATGGAGTTTCACCATGTTGGCCAGGCTGGTCTTGATCTCTTGACCTCATGATTCACCCACCTTGTCCTTTCAAAGAGCTGGAATACAGGCATGAGCCACCAAGACCAGCCCCGCCCTTTTTTTTTTTTTTTTTTATGAGAAGAGTCTGGCTTCTTCACCCAGGCTGGAGTACAATGGCGTGATCTCAGCTCACTGCAACCTTCGCTTACCAGGTTCAAGCAATTCTCCTGCCTCACCCTCCCCAGGAGCTGGCATTACAGGCATGTGCCACCACGCCCAGCTAATTTTTGTATTTTTAGTAGAGATGGGGCTTCACCCTGTTGGCCAGGCTGGTCTCAAACTCCTGACCTCAAGTGATCCACCCGCCTCAGCCTCCCAAGGTGCTGGGATTATACGCGTGAGCCACCACACCTGGCTCAGGGCTACTCTTCAGCCTACCCCATCCTACCCCACCCACACGGGGCTGGACCCTACCTCACCTGGGTGCTGAGGCGGTAGGACATGAGCTCAAAGTCACCATCAGGCGGGATGAAGGAGATGGTGCGGTCATTGTCAAAGCGTGAGAGCCGCACACACTGGTGGAATTTCACATCCTCCAGCTCCACCGATTTGTTCTTGCTGCCTGAAACTCAGAGTGGAGAGTGCGGAGTGACCCGGGGGAAGAACTCGTATCCCCACCTTCCCTGCCCACCACTATCACCCCATATGGGGAAACCGAGGCCCAGAGAGGCTGCATAAAAACTAGGGTGGAGCTGGAATCTGAACCTTGGATTTTTTTTTTTTTTTTTTTTTGAGACAGGAGTCTCATCCTGTCACCTGGGCTGGAGTGCAGTGACATGATCTTGGCTCACTATCACCTCCGCCTCCCAGGTTCAAGCGATTCTCCTGCCTCAGCTTCCCGAGTAGCTGGAATTACAGTCACCCACCACCATGCACAGCTAATTTTTTGTATTTTTAGTAGAGATGGGGTTTCCCTTTGTTGGCCAGGCTGATCTTAAATGCCTGACCTCGTGACCCACCCTCCTCATCCTCCCAAAGTATTGGGATTACAGGCATGAGCCACCGTGCCCAGCCATCTAGCTTTTAAATACGATGCTAAGCCGGTCACAGTGGCTCACACCTGTAATCCTAGCACTTTGGGAGGCCAAGGCAGGAGGATCACTTGAGGCCAGGAGTTTAGACCAACCTGGGCAGTATAATGAGATCCCTGTCTCTATAAAAAAATTTAAGACTTAGATGGTACTTGCCTGTGGTCCCAGCTGCTCAAGAGGCTGAGGTAGGAGGATCAACTGAGCCTCGGAAGTCGAGGCTGCAATGAGCTACAATCACTACACACTCCAGCCTGGGCAACAGAGCGAGACCCCGTCCCAAATAAATAAATACATATGATCCTGTTCTGTCTCCTCCTTTCAGCAGGATGTCAGCTCCGTAAAAACATGGGTTTGTCTTTTTCTTCTCTGCTGTGTCCTCAGACCCTAAAACTGCGCCCGGCACCATCATCATGAAACAGCCTTTGCAGTCAACCAATGGCTGCAATACTGGCCGTGACCAGCAGAGGGTGAGCAAGCGCTTATTTCAAAACGCTGCCATTCTCTAGGTCCTCACGTGGGATGGGGTTCATGGCTCCCCTGTGCACTTCCCAGAAGAGAGGTGCCCTAAATACTTACGGCCAGTGAGCTCAAAGAGCACGCGGTCATTGAGGCCCAGCCGCAGCTCAGGCATTCCCGACAGAAACACCTTGAGCTTGATGCTACCAACGATCTCGCTCAGCAGGACGCTGCCGTTGGCATTGACCTGGGGGTGGACGTTGGGAGCGGTCAGCAGGCATCCAGCCCGCTCTCCTGCACCCAGGCCCTGGAAAGGGTCCGGGGAAGGTGTGTGGGCTCACCAGCAGGTTGACAGACTCTATGACATCGATGAAGACCTCGTTCTTCTTATACTTGATACCCTCAGAGCGCCAGGACACAGCATTGGTGACAGTGGGTGGCACTCGTGATTTGCCCGTCTCCAGCTTGTTGCTCTGCTGAGTGATGTACCTGGCAGGAGGGTGGCAGGGACAAGCAGCTGGACCCAGGGACACCTCCCTGGACCTCCTCCAGTTCCCTACGCCCATGGTCCAGCCCATGGCTACCCCAGGGCTCCACTCACTCCTGCAGGATCTTGCTGTCGGTGGTCTGTGGGAAGCCAAAGTCCATGAGCTCATCCAGCAACTCATAGACGATGACAAAGTTGTCCCGGATGCTCTCCTCCTCCAGCTCCTTGAAGTATTCACAGAATACCTGGGGGTTGGGGGAGACAGATACTCACAAAGTGTGGCTATGGGCTGGGCACAGTAGCTCATGACTGCGACCTCAGCACCTTGGAAGGCCAAGGCACAAGGATCACTTGAGGTCACGAGTTCAAGACGAGCGTGGGCAACATAGTAAGCCCCTATTTCCACCAAAAAAAAATTTTTTTTTTGGTTAGCTTGGCATGATGGTGGACACCAGTAGTCCCAGCTACTCAGGAGGCTGTCAGGAGGATTGCTTGAGCCCAGGAGATCGAGGCTGCAGTGAGCCATGATAATGTGCTGCACTCCAGCCTGGGCAATGGAATAAGACCCTGTCTCAAAAAGAAAAAAGGCCAGGCATGGTGATTCATGACTGTAATCCCAGCACTTTGAGAGGCCAAGGCAGTCGGATGGCGAGCTCAGGAGTTTGAGACGAGCCTAATGGTGAAATCCATCTCTACTAAAAATACAAAAAAGACAGGCATGATGGCAGGTGCCTATAATCCCAGCTACTCGGGAGGCTGAGGCAGGAGAATCGCTTGAACCCAGGAGGTGGAGGTTGCAATGAGCTGAGATCGTGCCATTGCACTTCAGCCTGGGGGACAAGAGTGAGACTTGGTCTCAAAAAAAAAAAAAAAGAGAGAGAGAGAGAAGGCAAATCAATAAATATTTCTTGTTTGTGGAAGAGTATTTATAGGCAGGGTGCAGTGACTCACTCACACATATAATCCCCAGCTGGTAACATGGAGAGACCCTGTCTCTACAAAAAATACCAAAAAATGGCTGGGCACAGTGGCTCATGCCTGTAATCCCAGCAATTTGGGAGGCTGAGGCAGGTGGATCACCTTAGGTCAGGAGTTTGAGACCACCCTGGCCAACATGGAGAAACCCCATGTCTACTAAAAATATAAAAATTAGCTAAGCATGGTGGTGTGCACCTGTAGTCCCACCTACTCAGGAGGCTGAGGCCTGAATATCGTTTGAACCTGGTAGGAGGAGGCTGTAGTGAGCTGAGATTATACACTGCACCCCAGCCGTGGAGACAGAGTGAGAATCCTTCTCAAAAAATACATATACAAATACAAAAATTAGCCTAGCGTGGTGACATGGACCAGCTCCATGGGAGGCTGAGGCATGAGAATCACTTGAACCCGGGAGGCAGAGGTTGCAATGAGCTGAGATTGTGCCATTGCACTCCAGCCTGGTCAATAGAGAGACACTCTATCTCAAAAAAAATTAATTTAATTTGATTTGATTTGATTTAATTTAAAAAGGAAGATCAAGGCTGTAGCATGTTGAGATTGCGTCACTGTCCTCCAGTCTGGGTTACAGAGCAAGACCCTGTCTCAAACAACAAACAAAAGGCCGGGCGCGGTGGCTCACGTCTGGGATCCCAGCACTGTGGGAGGCTGAGGTGGGTGGATCACCTGAGGTCAGGAGTTCAACACCAGCCCGGCCAACATGGAGAAACCCGTCTCTAGTAAAAAATGCAAAAGTAGCCGGGCGTGGTGGTAGATGCCTGTAATCCCAGCTACTCGGGAGGCTGAGGCAGGAGAATTGCCTGAACCCAGGAGGCGGAGGTTGCGGTGAGCCGAGATCGCGCCATTGCACTCCAGCCTGGGTAACAAGAGTGAAACTCCGTCTCAAAACACAAACACACAAACAAACAAAAACCAGTGGCATATTATAAATATTCAATACATTATTATATGATCATCATAATATTTGTGATAATCTAACAACAGCAGTACAGGTTTTTGAGCACTTACTATACACTGAGCAATGCTCTAGGCACTTGACAGGTATTGATTTATTTGTACAACACCCCTGAGGCAGGACTTGTTAAAACCCCTAGTTTAGAAGCACAGAGATGAGACCGGGCGGTGCCTCACACCTGTAATCCCAGCATTTTCGGAGGCTGAGGCAGGTGGATCACTTGAGGTCAGGAGTTTGAGACCAGCCTGGCCAACACAGTGAAACCCTGTCCCTACTAATACAAAAATTAGCTGGGCAAAGCCAGGCTTGGTGGCTCATACCTGTAATCCCAGCACTTTGGAAGGTTGAGGCGGGGGCATCATGAGGTCAGGATTTTGAGAGCAGCCTGACCAATATGGTGAAACCCTGTTTCTACTAAAAATAGAAAAATTCGCTGGGCATGGTGGCGGGAGCCTGTCATCCCAGCTATGAAGGAGAATCACTTGAACCCAGGAGGCGGAGGTTGCAGTGAGCCAAGATTGCGCCACTGTACTCCAGCCTGGGTGACAGAATGAGACCCTGTCTCAAAAATAAAATAAAACAAGGCTGGGTGCGGTGGCTCAAGCCTGTAATCCCAGCACTTTGGGAGGCCGAGGCGGGTGGATCACGAGGTCAAGAGATCGAGACCATCCTGGTCAACATGGTGAAACCCCGTCTCTACTAAAAATACAAAAAATTAGCTGGGCATGGTGGCGCGTGCCTGTAGTTCCAGCTACTCAGGAGGCTGAGGCAGGAGAATTGCCTGAACCCAGGAGGCGGAGGTTGCGGTGAGCCGAGATGGCGCCATTGCACTCCAGCCTGGGTTACAAGAGTGAAACTCCGTCTCAAAATAATAATAATAATAATAATCATTTCCAGACTCTTTTTTTTTTCTTTAGACAGAGTTTCACTCTTGTTACCCAGGCTGGAGTGCAATGGCGCCATCTCGGCTCACCGCAACCTCCGCCTCCTGGGTTCAGGCAATTCTCCTGCCTCAGCCTCCTGAGTAGCTGGGATTACAGGCACGCGCCACCATGCCCAGCTAATTTTTTGTATTTTTAGTAGAGACGGGGTTTCACCATGTTGACCAGAATGGTCTCGATCTCTTGACCTCGTGATCCACCCGCCTCGGCCTCCCAAAGTGCTTGGATTATAGGCGTGAGCCACTGCGCCCGGCCCCCACCTTTTTTTTTTTTTTTTTTTTTTTAAAGCACGGTGATGAGAAGTCACTTGCTCCAAGTCACACAGTGAGGAAATAGGGAAGCTGGGACTGGATGCAAGTTCTTGGGCTTAGCTGAGCTGTACACTCTCTGAGACATTCTCGGTTCCTGCCCTTTAGGGGGAGAGCACATCATAAGCAGCTGATGAGATGCAGCCTGACGGGACTTTGATGCACAGGGATTCAGGCAAGGCCCCAGGGAAGGGCTGAGCGTGGCGGCTCATGCCTGTAATCACAGCAATTTGGGAGGCTGAGGCAGGAAGATTGCTTCAATTCAGGAGTTCTAGACCAACCTGAGTAATATAGCAAGATCCTGTCTCTACCAAAAAAAAAAAAGAAGGCCCAGGGAGAGCTGGGAAGAAAAAGAACCTATCAGAAAAAGATCTCAAGGCCAGGCGCGGTGGCTCACGCCAGTAATCCCAGCACTTTGGGAGGCCAAGGTAGGTGGAGCACGAGGTCAGGAGTTCAAGACCAGTCTGACCACAATGGTGAAGCCCTGTTTCTACCAAAAATACAAAAATTAGCCAGGTGTGGTGGCAGACGCCTGTAATCCCAGCTACTTGGGAGAACTGCTTGAACCTGGGAGGCGGAGGTTGCAGTGAGCTGAGACCACACCATGGTACTCCAGCCTGGCGACAGAGCAAGACTGTAGAAAAAGAAAGAAAAAAGGAAGAAAGGAGGGAAGGAAAGACGGAAAGAGATCTCGAAAGAGGCGGGCAAGAGGGGTAGATGGATAGATCGGTCAGCCAATGGGAGGCCAGTACCTACCTCGATGGTCTTATACAGGAAGGAGTACACCAGTGAGGCATTGGCGTTCTTCAATGTGGTGGCCACCACTGGGGGCAGCAAAGTTCAGGAAAAGGTGCCATTTATGGAGGCGTAAATGGAGTACAGACCTTGAACCTTCACCTTGTCCCTTGCCACCACCCCCATCTCTACCTGCCCCTGCCCCTGCCCCCCAGCCTGAGCCACACGGATATGCTGTGCAACTCCGGTCTTCAAGCCACCCTCTCGGCCTAAGCCGCTACCATCGCTGCCACCCCTACACACCCGCCTCCAGGGATGCCACATGGGGTGGATACGGTAGAGGTTGCTGTGTTTGATCCATAGGAAGTGGACCTCGCCGTAGCTCAGCAGCGGGGTGAGGGCACCCTCCTCCTCCCGCTGCACCAGCAAAGGCATGAAGTGCTCAATCTTGCTCATGGGCACATCGCCCTTGTAGTTGCGGCTGATCAGGGGCTGAGGGTGTGAGGAAAGGACCTGGTCACCACCAGCATCCAGGAACCTACCACACTGTGGGGGCACAGTGCCCAGTTCTGACCCTACTTCCCACAGGCAAGGCTCTGCCTCCTTGTGCCTCAGTTTCCCGCTCTGTAAAATGGGACTGTGATGACTGACAATAGCTAATGGGTCTAGGGTCTTCACTACGTGCCAGACCGTGTTCTAGTTAAGAGTAGGTGATGGGCGGGTGTGCAGTAGCTCACACCTGTAATCCTAGCACTTTGAGAGGATGAGGCAGGCAGATCACCGGAGGTCAGAAGTTCGAGACCAGCATGGCCAACATGGTGAAACACTGTCTTTACTAAAAATCCAAAAATTAGACCAGGTGCGGTGGCTCACGCCTGTAATCCCAGCACTTTGGGAGGCTGAGGCGGGCAGATCACGAACTCAGGAGATTGAGACCATCCAGGCTAACACAGTGAAACGCCATCTCTACTAAAAATACAAAAAATTAGTCAAGTGTGGTGGCACGTGCCTGTGGTCCCAGCTACTTGGGAGGCTGAGGCAGGAGAATCGCTTAAACCTGGGAGGCAGAGGTTGCAGTGAGCCGAGATTGTGCCATTGCACTCCAGCCTGAGTGAAATTCTACCTTAAAAAAAAAAATTAGCCAGGCATGGTGGCAGGCACCTATAATCCCAGCTACTCAGGAGGCTGAGGCAGGAGAATTGCCTGAACCCAGGAGACGGAGGTTGCGGTGAGCCCAGATCGAGCCATTGCACTCCAGCCTGGGTAACAAGAGCGAAACTCCGTCTCAAAAAAAAAAAAGACCCAATACCCCACCATGACGACTTGAAATTATAGTCGGCATTGGCAATTTTTGGCAGTCTCTACGGGGACTGAATCAAAAAAAAAAAAAAAAAAAGGAGAAGAAGAAAAGAAAAAGGGTAGGTGTTTGCAGCCATAAAAGAAAGAGATGACGTCTTTCACAGGGACATGGATGGAGCTGGAGGCCGTTATCCTCTAACACGGGAATAGAAAACCAAATACTGCATGTTCTCACTTAGAAGTGGGAGCTGCATGATGAGAACACATGGACACACAGAGGGGGACAGACACTGGGGACTTTGGAGGGTGGAGGGTGGGAGGAAGGAAAGGATCAGCAAAAATTACTAATGGAGGCTGGGCACAGTGGCTCATGCCTGTAATCCCAGCACTTTGGGAGGCTGAGGTGGATGGATCATGAAGTCAGGAGTTCAAGACCAGCCTAGCCAAGATGGTGAAACCCCATCTCTATTATTTAAAAAAAAAAAAAAAAAATTAAAAAAAAATTTTTTTTAATTACTAATGGATACTAGGCTTAATACCTGGGTGATGAAATAATCTGTAAAACAAACCTCCACGATATACATTTACCTATAAAACAAACTTGCACAAGTATCCCTGAACTTAAACGTTAAAAAAAAAAAAAAGTGGCTGACTGTCGGCCAGCAACATAGCAAGACCTTGTGTCTATTAAAAAATACAAAATTAGACAGGCATGGTGTGTGCCTATAGTCCCAGCTGTTTGGGAGGCTGAGGTGGGAGAATCACTCGAGACCAGGAATTTGAGACTCCAGTGAGCTGAGATCACGCCACTGCACTCCAGCCTGGGTGACAGAGTGAGACTCCCTCTCAAAGAAAAAAAAAAGAAGCCGGACATGGTGGCTCACACCTGTAATCCCAACACTTTGGGAGGCAGATCACGAGGTTAGGAGATCAAGACCATCCTGACCCATGTGGTGAACCTCCATCTCTACTACAATATGAAAAATTAGCCAGGCATGGTGGCAAGCAGGAGGCTGTGGCAGGAGAACTGCTTAAACCCAGGAAGTGGAGGTTGCAGTGAGCCGAGACCACACCACTGCACTCCAGCCTGGGCAACGGAGCAGCACTCCAGCCTGGGCAACGGAGCAGCACTCCAGAAAGAAAGAGAGAAAGAGAGGGAAGGAGGGAGGGAGGGAGAGAGGAAGGAAGGAAGGAAGGAAGGAAGGGAGGAAGGGAAGAAGCAAGGGAGAGAGGGAGGTAGGGAAGGAGGGTGTGGTGGCTCATGTGTGTAATCCCCACACTCTGAGGTCAGGAGTTTGAGACCTGCCTGGCCAACATGACAAAACCCCGTCTCTACTAAAAATATAAAAATTAGCCGGGCATGGTGGCGTGTGCCTGTAATCTCAGCTAGGCTGAGGCAGGAGAATTGCCTGAACCTGGGAGATGGCAGTGAGTCAAGATCGCACCACTGCACTCCAGCCTGGGTAACAGAGCAAGACTCCATCTCAAAAAAAAAAAAAATAATAGCCAGTCGCGGTGGCTCAAGCCTGTAATCCCAGAACTTTGGGAGGCCGAGGTGGGTGGATCACAAGGTCAAGAGATCGAGACCATCCTGGTCAACATGGTGAAACCCCATCTCTACTAAAAATACAAAAAATTAGCTGGGCATGGTGGTATGTGCCTGTAATCCCAGCTACCCAGGAGGCTGAGGCAGGAGAATTGCCTGAACCCAGGAGGCGGAGGTTGCGGTGAGCCAAGATGGCGCCATTGCACTCCAGCCTGGGGAACAAGAGCGAAACTCTGTCTCAAAAATAAATAAATAAATAAATAAATAATAAAAAATTTAAAAAATAGAGAGAGGAAAGAAAGAAAAAGAAAGAAACTATCAAAAGAAAAAGAAAGAGTAGATGTTTGCTAACTTATTAGTTCTTGCCACAACCCCGTGGGGTAGACATTATCATCATCTTCATTTTACACAGGAGAAGTGAGGTCAGAAACCGTGTCCACTGGAAGCACAGAAACTGGGGGTTGATCTAAGGCATCCTGAGTCCAGAATCCCTGCTGCTGCCCGGACTTCATTTGCACCAAAGTGGGATTATTGGGAAAAAAAAAAAAAAAAAGCCAAGAAGAGGCCAGGTGCAATGGTGCAATCACTCAGGCATGTAACCCAATCCCACTGCTGTGGAAGACCGAGGCATGAGGACCGCTTGAGGCCAGGAGTACGAGACCAGCTTTGGCAACACTGCCCGATCCTTCCACAAAAAAATTTCAAGAATTAGCTGGGCATGGTGGCCTGCACCTGTGTAGTCACAGCGACTCTGGAGGCTGAGGCAGGAGGATCGCTTGAGCCTAGGAGGTCGAGGCTGCGGTGAGCTGTGATCACATGACTGCACTCCAGTCTGGGTGACAAGAAAGAAAAGAAAAGAAAAGAAAAGAATAAAAGAGGGGTTGGGTGCGGTGGCTCACGCCTGTAATCCCAGCATTTTGGGAGGCCAAGGTGGGTGGAACACTTGAGCCCAGGAGTACGAGACCAGCCTGGGCGACATGGTGAAACCTGTCTGTACCAAAAAATATAAAATTAGCGGCCGGGTGCGGTGGCTCACGCCTGTCATCCCAGCACTTTGGGAGGCCGAGGCGGGTGGATCACGAGGTCAAGATATCGAGACCATCCTGGTCAACAAGGTGAAATCCCGTCTCCACTAAAAATACAAAAAATTAGCTGGGCATGGTGGCACGTGCCTATAGTCCCAGCTACACAGGAGGCTGAGGCAGGAGAATCGTAGCCTGGGTGAAAGAATGACATTCTATCTCAAAAATAAAATAAAATAAAATGGCTGGGCGCCGTGGCTCAAGCCTGTAATCCCAGCACTTTGGGAGGCCGAGGTGGGTGGATCACGAGGTCAAGATATCGGGACCATCCTGGTCAACATGGTGAAACCCCATCTCTACTAAAAATACAAAAATTAGCTGGGCATGGTGGCACGTGCCTATAATCCCAGCTACTCAGGAGGCTGAGGCAGGAGAATTGCCTGAACCTAGGAGGCGGAGGTTGAGGTGAGCCGAGATCGCGCCATTGCACTCCAGCCTGGGTAACAAGAGCGAAACTCCGTCTCAAATAAATAAATTAATTAATTAATTAAATAAAATAAAAATAGCCAGGCATGGTGGAGGGTGGAGTCAGCCCAAGGCCCCAGCTACTCGGGAGTTTGACACCAGCTTTGGCAACATAGCGGGATCTTGAGACAAAAAAATTTCAAGAATTAGCCAGGCATGGTGGCCTGCACCTGTGTTTTCACAGCTCCTCTGGAGGCTGAGGCAGGAGGATCCCTTGAACCCAGGAGTTCCAGGCTGCAGTGAGCTATGATGGCATCAGTGCACTCCAGCCTGGGTGACAGCAAAAGACCCTGTCTCGAAAATTCAAAAAGGCAAGAGGAATGAAAGGACTTCAGAAAGACACAAGACAGCCACAGAGAGGAGTTAGAGGACCCCTGCCTCAGACGCCTTCCCCAGGTATTAACACTGTGGATGCCGATGGTGATGGAGATCATTTCAATTTGCTGAGTTCCTCATATTTGCAGAAAGGTCACTGTGCTAAGTAGTTTACACGCAGCGAGTTGTGTTGATTTTCATTGGGTGGGGAACTCTGTTGCTCCCATTTTTACATACAGAGAAACTGAGGCCCTGAGAGGCAAAGGCCTTGGCCTCTGGCACAAGGTGAGTGAATGCTGGAGGTGGGATTTGACCCCAGATTCCCAGGGACTGCGGGGGGAAGGGGTGTTCCCAGGCCCCTTTCTGGGCCTCCCTCCCTGACCTGCGCAGAGTAGTCGCCCCTGAATCCTCGGGAGTGAGACCTCACCAGTCAGTCTCCCAACTCCTCATGCCCAGCCTCACCTTGCCCTTGACGTCGAGAATGAAGACAGCCGAGGCGGACATGGTGGCGGCCCAGGGACCTAGGAGGCGGGGAGGGAGCGCGGGGAGGCGACGGCAGCGCCGCTTCCTTCTTCCTGCGGAAGCGCCTGCGCCCAGGTGAGCGCCCAGGTGTGTGCGTCTTAAAGGGGAGGCCGCCAGGTGAGCAACGCTGTCGGCAGACGCGAAGACGGCTGCGGGACCCGGTACTGCGGCTTCAGACGGGTACTGCCCCGCTTCACTTTCCCTACCCACCCAGGAGTACTGATGGGTGGAGACCCCAGACAAATCATCCATCCTTCCACCCATTCATTCATCCTTTTTTACATTCCTCTCTCCATCCATCCATTCATTCATTCATTCTTGCATTTATTAATCCATCCATGCATACACTCATTTGGCCATTCATTAATCCATGTTCCATCGATTCATCTATCCATCCATTCATCTATTTTTGCATTCATTTATTCATCTATCCATTATCCATCCGTCCACCCATTCATTCATTCATCCACTCTTACATTCATTCATTATTCATCTTTCCATTCATCCATTCATCCATTCGTCAATTTATCTGTCCATCCATCCATCCATCCATTATTGAATTCATTAATTTATTCATCCATCCATCCTTCCATCCATCATTCATCCATCCATCCATTCTTGCATTCATTAATTCATCCATCCATCCATCATTCATTCATCCATCCATCCATTCTTGCATTCATCGTTTTATTCATCTATCCATCCATCATTCCACTCATCCATCCATTCATCCATTTTTTTTTTTTTTTTTTTGAGACGGAGTCTCACTCTGTGACCCAGGCTGGAGTGCAGTGGTGCGATCTTGGCTCACTGCAACCTCCACCCCCCAGGCTGGAGCAATTCTTCTGCCTCAGTCTCCTGAGTAGCTGGGATTATAGGTGGCTAATATTTGTATTTTTAGTAGAGACGGGGTTTCACCATATGACTAGGCTGGTCTTGAACTCCTGACCTCGTGTTCCACTTGCCCCAGCCTCCCAAAGTGCTGGGATTATAGGCATGATCCACCATCCCTGCCTCCATTCATCCATTCCTGCATTCATTAATTCATTCACCTATCTATCCATCCATTGGTCCATCCATCCATCCATTCATCCATCCATCCATTCATCCATCCATCCATTCATCCATCCATCCATCCATTCTTGCACTCATTAATTTATTCACATATCTATCCATCCACCCATCTAGCCATCCATTCATTCATCCTCTCATTAATTCATCCATCCATTCATCTTGTCTCTCCCACACATGTTAGCCCCAAAACAGCAGGGACTTTGTCTTGTTCATGTTTATATCCCTAGTGCTCAGCACTGCGTGTTCAAAATTTGTCCAATTCATTCATTCACTGTTTCATATAATAACTTTTATTGGTGGGCTGGGCATGGTAGCTTATGCCTGCAATCCCAGCACTTTGGGAGGCCAAGGGGGGTGAATCACCTGAGGTCGGGAGTTCGAGATCATCCTGACCAACACGGAGAAGCCCCATCTCTATGAAAAATACAAAAAAAAAAAAAAGAAAGAAAGAAAGAAAAAACCTGGCATAATGGCCCATGCTTCTAATCCCAGCTAATTGGAAGGCTGAGGCAGGAGAATCACTTCAACCAGGAGGCGGATGTTGCGGTGAGCCAAAATCTTACCATTGCTGTTTCTAAATAAATAAATAAATTTTACTGAGTGAATCTGAAATATTTATTCATTCAGTAACAGGAACTGTGAATATCATTCTGAGAAGGACAAATGTAGTTTTTATTGTTCTTTTTATTTTTTATTTTTATTATTTTTTAATTTAAGACGGGGTTTTACCATGTTGGTCAGGCTGGTCTTGAACTCCCGACCTCAGGTCTTGGCCTCCAAAGTGCTTGGATTACAGGTGTGAGCCACCATGCCCAGCCAGCTTTTACTATTCTTACTAATTTACTTTTATTCATTCCCAAAAAAACCTTTTTTTTAAAGATGGATTCTTGCCCTGTTGTCCAGGATGCAGTTCAGTGGCATGATCTCAGCTGACTGCAACCTCCACCTCCCAGGTTCAAGTGATCCTCCTGCCTCAGCCTCCCGAGTAACTGGGACTACAGGCACAAACTGCCACACCCAGCAAATTTTGCTAATTTTTTTTCTTTTTTTTTAATTTTATTTTTAAATTTTTTAAATATATAACATTTCTAAAAACATATTAATACAAATTTTTTTTTTAAGACAGGGTTTCACCATGTTGGTCAGGCTGGTCTTGAACTCCCAACCTCTGGTAATCTGCCTGCCTTGGCCTCCCAAGTGCTTGGATTACAGGCGTGAGCCACCACGCCCGGCCTAATTTTTTTTTTTGAGACAGAGTTTCACTCTTGTTGCTCAGGCTGAAGTGCAATGGCACAATCTCAGCTCACCAAACCTCCACCTCCCAGGTTCAAACGAGTCTCCTGCTTCAGCCTCCCAAGTAGCTGGGATTACAGGCATGCACCACCACGCCCGGCTTTTTTTTTTTTTCAGTAGAGAAGGGGTTTCGCCATGTTGACCAGGCTGGCCTCTAACTCCTGACTTCAGGTGATCCACCTGCCTCAGCTTCCCAAAGTGCTGAGATAATAGGCATGAGCCACCTTGCCCGGCCAATCGCAGTGTTTTGGAAGGCTGAGGTGGGAGGACGGTTTGAGACCAGGAGTTCAAGACCAGCTTGAGCAATGTATCGAGACCCTGTCTTTACAAAAAAATTTTGTTTTTTTTTTTTTTTGAGACGGAGTCTTGCTCTGTTGCCAGGCTGGAGTGCAGTGGCGCAATCTCAGCTCACTGCAACCTCCACCTTCTGGGTTCAAGCAATTCTTCTGCCTCAGCCTCCCCGAGTAGCTGGGACCACAGGCACGTACCACCATACCCAGCTAATTTTTGTATTTTTAGTAGAGACAGGGTTTCACCATGTTGGCCAGGATGGTCTCAATCTCTTGACCTCGTGATCCGCCCACCTCGGCCTCCCAAAGTGCTGGGATTACAGGCGTGAACCACCGTGCTCGGCCTACAGAAAATTTTTTAAATTATCTGGGAGTGGTGGTGCTCACCTGTAGTCCCAGCTCCTGAAGAGGCCTCGGTGGGAGGATCTCTTGAGTTCAGAAGGTTGAGGCTTCAGTGAGCCTTGACTGCACCACTGCACTGCGGCCTGGGTGATAAAGCAAGTTTCTGTCTCAATAAATAAACAAATCAAAGGCTTCCCTAATTCAAGGGCTTGTCTTGAGGATTCCTGCATGGGAGACATTTAGGGCCACCCTCTCTTGCACTGAGCACCAGTCAAGCCCGAGGTAATGTTACTAACAGTAATATTTGCATCCAGCAACAGAGCAGAGCAGGCGGAAGCAGGTTGGGAACAGACTCTTTTGTTCTTTTCCAAACCACACACAGGAGTGGGAGGGACCAGACTTTTTATGTTTGATTTTTTTACCAAGGGACCAGACTCTTAAATCCCAGTACTAAGATTGGGATTCTGGGTTAACTGCCTTCTGGCTGTGTCACTGTAGTCTTGGGCAAGGGCCTTTACCTCTCTGTGTCCCTGCTTCTGCCTTTATAAGATGACACGAAGGAGACCTATGCAAGATAATAATTTTTTATTTCTTGTTTTAATTTTTTTTGTTGTTAAATAAGGCGGAGAAAAATAAAATTTTTTCTCCATGTTGGTCAGGCTGGTCTCGAACTCCTGACCTCAGGTGATCCACCCACCTCTGCTTCCCAAAGTGCTGGGATTACAGGTGTGAGCTACCATGCCTGGCCTATTATTATTATTATTTCTTGAGACAGAGTCTTGCTGTTGTCGGCCTGGACTGGAGTGAGTGCAATGGCACGATCTCGGCTCACTGCAACCTCTGCCTCCCAGGTTCCAGCAATTCTCCTGCTTCAGCCACCTGAGTAGCGGCGATTACAGGTGCCCAGCACCACGCCCAGCTAATGTTTGTATTTTTAGTAAAGACAGGGTTTCACCATGTTAGCCAGGCTGGTCTCGAACTCCTGACCTCAGGTGATCCACCGTTTCCATCTCCCAAAGTGCTGGGATTACAGGCATGAGTCACCAAACCCACACCCAGCTAATTTTTATTTATTTTGAGATGGAGTTTTGCTCTTGTTACCCAGGCTGGAGCGCAATGGCGCGATCTCGGCTCACCGCAACCTCCGCCTCCTGGGTTCAGGCAATGCTCCTGCCTCAGCCTCCCGAGTAGCTGGGACTACAGGCGCGCACCACCATGCCCAGCTAATTTTTGTATTTTTAGTAGAGACGGGGTTTCACCATTGACCAGGATGGTCTCAATCTCTTGACCTCGTGATCCACCCACCTCAGCCTCCCAAAGTGCTGGGATGACAGGCGTGAGCCACCGCACCCGGCCGCTAATTTATATATTTTTTGATACAGACAGGTTTCACCATGTCGCCTAGGCTGGTCTCGTACTCCTGAGCTCAAGTGTTCCACCCACCTTGGCCTCCCAAAGTGCTGGGATTACAGGCGTGAGCCATCTCGCCTGGCCTAGAGCCCAAGACTTTATGTTGCTTCTGCCCAAAGGAGAGGGGGTGTCCTTCAGGCTCCCAGCAGCCGCCTGCTGAGAAGGTCACCTAGGTAGACGCAGCAACTGCCAGGCCCTCACCCCAGCCTAGGCATTGCAGAACCTCAAAAGAACTGTCTACTGGTGGGATGGTGGCTCACGCCTGTAATCTCAGTACTTTGGGAGGCCAAGGCAGGTGGAGAGGCTGAGGCAGGAGAATCACTTGAATCTGGGAAGCAGAGGTTGCAGTGAGCCAGAGTCACGCCACTGCACTCCAGCGGGTGGATTGCCTAAGGTCAGGAGTTTGAGACCATCCTGACCAACATAGTGAAACCCCATTTCTATTAAAAATACAAAAAATTAGCTGGGGAATAGAGTGAGACTCTGCCTCAGATAAATAAATAAATAAATAACTCGTCTCCTGGGACTCTGAGATGTTTCGAAGCAGTAAACAGAACCCGAAAGCCTGGGCCCAGCGCCCTGGAATCTGAAACTCCAGGCCTGTTTGGCATGAAAAATTCATGAGCCCAAAAGCTGCTGTGGGGTCAGAGAACAGAGCAGCTCTCTGTGCCCTGGCTCTGCCCAGCCT